TCTCTCCCTTTTATAGATAAGAAAACCAAGGAATGACCATGATGGCTGGGGTCTCAGCAAGTGGCTTGTCCCAGTGAGGCCTGTTTCACAGAAGAGTATGTTTAATCTCCCAGAGTCTGCCCCCTAACCTCACATGGCTAGCAGAGGCCGAGTCAGGATTCGCACTCACGTGCTGACGCCAGAGGCTGGGCGAGGTGCTCTGCCGTGATGGGTGATTGTCGACTTAGGGAAAACCTTCAGGGAGGTGGTTTGGCCTTGGGGGTCTCTCCCTGGAGAGAATTTCCAGCGTGTTCCTGGGAAGGATCAGGATCCTCTTTGTTGGAACAAGCACGGGTCCTTTCCTGGGTCATCTGTGTATGCTGACATCACAGTCCCTCTTCCCCACTCCCCACCTTGTCCCTTTTCCCCCAAACACGTGATACGGACCCTGGATAAGCCCCGAGATGATCCACTTGCTGTGTGAGTGCATCCTCTGGAGGATTGTTGAGTGGGAATTTTTTGAAGCCTCAGACCACACCATCCCCAAGATGATGCCGAGGTCGATAGTAAGCCTCTTATTTTTTAAGGTCATACGCAACAGAACCCCAGCAACTCGGAGTGAAAACGGCCCCTGAGGGTGATCGTCAGGTGTGGCAACAGCTGCAGGAGAAGGTAGCTGCAGGGAAGTGGGTTGCGCTCCTTCTCTTTAGGCTCTGTTTTTAGCTATGTTTTTCAGAGCAAGTAGGTGCCATGGCGACAGGTACCATAGAAATAGATGGAGCACACCGCCCAGCACAGGGCTGCCAAGCCGTTCCCCTGGAAATGCACCGAGCGCTGCCAGGGAGAGCCCCGGGGGCTCTGCCTCCCCAGGCCTGGCAGCTGCACCTCGGGAGAGAAGGCGCCGGAGAATGGCCCCTACAGGGTTCTTGCCGTGTCACTGTGATTGTCCGAGGTCCCGATGGTGCACCCTCCTTCCGAGGGCACCTTTCTCTCTGAGTCCTCCCAGGGGACTCACTTAAGGAGGTTTGCTTCTGCCTAGTGCAGGGGTCATCTCAGCTAACAGCAACCTCAAAACTAACACTGCCAGCATTCCTGGTCCTATGGTTGGGAGTTCACGGTTCCCATCCTGTCTGCCTGTGGCACTGTCACTGGTTTTATGCAATAGGTAATAAGGAATTTGTGGGGCAGGGACTGAGTCCCACACATTTGGTGCTCAGGAACACTCATAAAATGATATCTCCGAGGATCTAACCCAGAAAGCCGAGAGAGATAGGCATAATCAGGCAGTACAGAGTGAGGCCTGGCCTCAATTATTTTTGGATGCAGCCTGAGTGGACTGAAAGACCCTTGGAAACAATTGCTGGAGCCATCCCATAGCACTTACATAACCAGCTCTGCACGGCTGTTGATAGATGAATATAAATGAACCTAGTCAGGGCTTAGCTCAGTTTTATTTGGATTTAGACCAATTATATGTCTTCTGAAATGTAACCCATATAGATACACACATCCTTTAAAACTAACCGTCTTCTATTAGGCCTAGCGTGCGAAGGTCAAAAGGGCATCTCTTACTATATCTGTCCCATAATATCTACTTCTGTAGTGGGGCTCTATTATATATATTCATTTCCATATATTTATGCTGTCAAGTGGCATACTTCTTCAGGGCAGGGCAAATGTAATTCTAGACTAATAGTTCTGAGACCAGTAACTCTCAGCACTGACCAACTGGAGTTAATTTTATTCTCAATGAAAGAAGCACACATACACACCCCCTCAACCAGGGAATTTTTTTTAAAAAAGCAAAACTTAATAATCAAAATCATCAACTCGTAAATAATGGCTTAAGTTGTTATAGATTATAAAAATCAGAGAACTGGAAGGTGCTAACAAAATGTCTATCCTGCATGTGTGGATTTGAAGCAAGGGTGGTCCAAAGAGTCTGAGCACTTTGCTGTTTAGTTCAGCATGTTTTCTACGTATGCAGGTGGTATTTTCAGGTCATTACCATGCTGGCAGCCTCTTTCCCAGCGGTGGAGATGCATGGAGCCTCGTTGGATGCATGGAGCCCCTCCAGTCAGGGAGTGGTGCTTATGGTGACCTTGAAGTAGGCTTGTGGCTCATGGCATTGGTTGAGTTGTGCAGTGTAAGGGTAGCTGGACATCATTAAAGCAACCGCCTGGTTTATCCCTAGGATTTACCCATGGAACCGCATGACTCAGCATTTATTGTTGGCAGCATCATACATTCAACCTACATGTGGGTTTCATGGGTCATATTTCATAGCTGCAAGAATTTGGCCTGACAGAGCTGTTGCAGAAACTCTGTATTAAATAAGCAAACACGTGTGTTCTAGTTTTACAGGCCAGGCAAACTGTGAAAACAGAAGGGCTGGCCTTTCCTGCCTGTAGCAGTCATACCTTGGAGTTTTGCCACTTGGTTGAGTTGCTTTATTTTGCTAACTCAAAACAGATTCACTTTGAAGAATGAGGCCCTCGAATTATTCTATAACTCTCTGAGAATGGACATTCACACTCATGCTGGGCAGATAGAATTATTCCCAAATTTTCACAGTGTCATAAAACTAATGTTTGGCTTGTGTGAAGCATACACACAAAACCTTCCTTGCCCAAGGTAAGCAACTCTCTATGGAGTTGCAACAGGAACCTGGGGTTACAGAATATTCGATACTAAATTCGAGACTGGTGTTTGTGGCTTTTCACATCAATGATTTGAAACTTAACATTTAATGTGAACGTTTCTTTTTTTTTTTTTTTTCTTTTTTTGAGACAGAGTCTCGCTTTGTTGCCCAGGCTAGAGTGAGTGCCGTGGCGTCAGCGGGCTCGAGTGATCCTTCTGCCTCAGCCTCCCGAGTAGCTGGGACTACAGGCATGCGCCACCATGCCCGGCTAATTTTTTATATATATATCAGTTGGCCAATTAATTTCTTTCTATTTATAGTAGAGACGGGGTCTCGCTCTTGCTCAGGCTGGTTTCGTACTCCTGACCTTGAGCAATCCGCCCGCCTCAGCCTCCCAAGAGCTAGGATTACAGGCGTGAGCCACAGCGCCCGGCCAATGTGAACGTTTCTTAACAATCATAACTTTTTTTTTTTTTTGTCTTTTTGAGACAGGGTTGCCCAGGCTAGAGTGCGGTGGTGTCAGCCTAGCTCACCGCAACTTCAAACTCCTGGGTTCAAGTGATCCTCCTGCTTCAGCCTCCCAAGTAGCTGGGACTACAGGCATGTGCCACCATGCCTGGATAATTTTTTCTATATATTTTTAGTTGTCCAATTCTTCATTTTTTCTTTTCTTTCTTTTTTTTGCCCAGGCTAGAGTGAGTGCCATGCGGTCAGCCTGGCTCACAGCAACCTCAATCTCCTGGGCTCAGCGATCCTACTGCCTCAGCCTCCCGAGTAGCTGGGACTACAGGCATGTGCCACCATGCCCGGCTAATTGTCAATTAATTTCTTTCTATTTTTGGTAGAGACGGGGTCTCGCTCAGGCTGGTTTCGAACTCCTGACCTTGAGCGATCCGCCCGCCTGGGCCTCCCAAAGTGCTAGGATTACAGGCGTGAGCCACTGTGCCCGGCCTCTTTCTATTTTTTTTAGTAGAGACGGGGTCTCACTCGCTTTTGCTCAGGCTGGTTTCAAACTCCTGACCTTGAGGGATCCACCCGACTCAGCCTCCCAGAGTGCTAGGATTATAGGTGTGAGCCACCATGCTCAGCCTGTTTCTTATCATTTTTAAAAACTTTGAGATAATCACAAAGTGACAAAAAATGATAAGGATAGTACAAAAGAAAGCCTCTTGTTATATCTTATTCTTCGTTGACTTTTAATTAGTTATTTATATATATATATATCAACTTAGGGATTCCTCCCTAAGTTCCTTTTATATATATATCAACTTAGGGATTCCTATTAGTGAGCTATAATCTGTTCCTATCATTATTTATTTTAAAGCTCAAAATTTCACCAGTTTGACCAGTGGGAGCCCATTTAATCTGTGTCTTTTCCGCATCCCCCCATCATTCCTTGAGGACAGCCTCACCTTCTGACACAGGATGTTCTGGCCCATCCTGTATTCTCCTTGCCCGAGCTGTGGCATTGACCATTTCTCCAAGGAGTCTCGATTCATTTTAATGGAAAATGGTATTTGGAATCCAAGACCTGGGCACCTGATGTACTCATTCCTACTGGAGCGTTGCTGCTTCCAGGCAGAGCTAGAGGATATATGTTTCTCACACACACACACACCTATATGTTTTTAAATATATTCCATATATTGAGGATACAATCTTCAACCACAGCATTTATTCTAGTTTTCTTCCACAAGTGTAACTCCCTTATCCAAGAGTGGCAAACCTGTGTTCTCTCGGCCTTAATAAAATTAGGTATTTGATCCATCATTAGTATGACTAATCTCCCATCTCTACCCCCACCTCCTTCCCTCATAGCTGCCTTCCTCACTCCACTCAGACTCTCTCAACTCCAATTCATTCCAGGCCAACGTTCCCCATAGACATGGACACGCTCCTCACCCTGCTTGGACTGTGACACCTTGCTTTGGGCCACCTGGGCTTCCTACCCTCTTTTCCCCACCATGGACTCCTACCTCACTCTGTCCCACCTCATGGCTTTGGGGCGGAATTGTTTAAGAAGAGGGAAGAGAAGAGATCATCATTTGCTTGCACTGAAAATATTTGTTTTCTTAACAATCCTCTGCTTATTGGGAGCACTCGTATTTTACCTATTAAATAATCAAACACTAATTATGACTGCCAGCATTTCCCCCATCTTTTGTCTCTGCTATTATAATAAAATTTTTAAGATAAAATGTTATACAGTTAGCATGCCTCCTTCCTTACAGCAACATTTATTTTGCAAATGTGCAGTTGTATTTAGGCTACCACCAGCAACTTTCTTGGCAAACATTGAGCAACTCCCACCACAAAGATTAATGAGTAGAGACAAGGTCTGCACACCTACTCATTTTGTTCTTCCGTTATCATGTTGTAGGACTCTGGGGAAATGATCCAGGAGACATCTACAGAAACCAAAAATGGAGTTTTATAACACTGAGAATCGTTTACTCTTGTGAACAATACGATCTTCTTGACTGGGCTGTGAACTTCATGGCAGTTGTGTCTTCTGTTATTTTTTGGTACCCCTCAAGGTCCTAAACACAATCCTACATAAATGTGAGGCTCCACCTGTGCTCATCAGCTGGCAGAGACGCGATGGCTTCATGGTCACATCAGGGGAGAGAAAGCACAGGTTACAAAGTCCGGGGGACACTTGTTGTTGGCCTTTATCTTCCTTGACATCCATGGACCGCAAATTCCTCCTTCAAACACTTGCTTCCCTTGGCTTCTGAACCACGGGCTTTCTCTCCTACCTCCCTGGCTGCTTCATCTCAGCTCGGCTGCCTTTGTGAGAGCCACTTGCACTGCCTGTCCCCCGACGGTGAGCATTTATTGGGCGCCTTTGTGTGCCAGGCACTGTTGTAGGTGCTGGAGATACAGCAGTGAGTAGAACAGATACAAAGCCTCGTCTTCATGGAACTGAAAGGAAACAAGGAACATCCTGTGTGTGTGTGTGTGTGTGTGTGTGTGTGTGTGTGTGTGTGTGTGCTGCCTGTCCCCGTATCACAGGAACAACCTCCGCTGCCCCCCAAATGCGATGAGCGCTGGCCGGTCTTGCAGGGCTCATGAAGGGTTGAGGCAGCCTCTCCCCCGCAAGCTTCTTTTCCTGGAGAGAGACTTTCTAGATGCTCCTGTCCCTGGCTTGGGCTCCCCTCTTCTCTGCCAGCCTCCCACTTTGGCTGCCCTGTCCTCTGTCCCCACCTGCAGCCAAATGACCTTTCTAAAAGACAAGTCTCACAGGTCACTCTACTGCTAAAAACCTTTGGCAATTTCCTATCGCTCTGTGATAAATCCAAATTTCTTGGCCTGCAGGAGACGCCCCATGAGCTGGCCTCTGCCCCTGCCACCTCCCACCTGCTGTCATAGGCTCCAGCAGCACGGAAAGCTGGGCCCCTCCGCGCCTCCGGGCCATGCTCAGGCTAGCCCCTGGACCTAGCGGGCCTTCTCCCTCCCCCCTTCTGCCTTGACCCCTACTCTCCCTGTAGACCCAGCCCTTCCCCTCTATCCCCAGTCCCCGGCCGGCCCAGGAGCACCGAGCTCATGGTGCTGTAGTTAACTAGTTTTCTGTCTTTCCCTGGGAGAGGGACACAGTGGTAACTATGTGTTTAAAGTCTGTCTCCCGGGGTGGTAAGCCCCTGTGAGCGTGGGCTGTCTCATTCACCACTGTGTCCGCAGCTCGCTGGGCGCGGAGTAACACACGTGGGCAGCGCTTCCCTGGCGCTAGCTGTGGGCCGGGCCAGGAAGTGCCCTGAGAACGTTCTGCGTAACCCGTGGCACTGACATATGGTAAGATATGCATTTGGGTCAGGTTTCCTGGCATATAACTTCCAAACTCTTTGGAATCTCCAAAGTGATGCATATCTTTTTGTATGCTGACCAGATGACAGGTGCTGGCGGCCCTTAGCTAGCTTCAGGATGGGGGCTGGTCACCAGAAAGACCAAGGCAGGATTAAAAGATTGGGACTTCCAGCACGCCCCAGCTCTGGGGGAGGAGGGAGGTCCTGAAGATTGAGGTGATCACCTGTGGCCAGTGGTGTCGTCAATCACACCTACTGAAGGAAGCCTCCATAAAACCCCAAAAGGACTGTGTTTGGAGAGCTCTGCAGAGCTGAACTTGGGGAGGCTCCTGGAGGCTGGCACACCTGGGAGGGCATGGCTGGCACACCTGGGCTGACGCCCTGCCCCCATACCTCACCCTACAGATCTCTTCATCTGTGTCCCTTGGAATATCCTTTATAATAAATCAGTAAACGTGTTTCCCCGAGTTTTGTGAGCCACTCTAGCAAATTAATAAAACCTGAGAGGAGGCCAGGTACAGTGGCTCATGCCTGTAATCCTAGCACTCTGGGAGGCCGAGGCGGGTGGATCCCTCAAGGTCAGGAGTTCGAAACCAGCCTGAGGAAGAGTGAGACCCTGTCTCTACTAAAAATAGAAAGAAATTAGCCAAACAACTAAAAATAAATAGAAAAAATTAGCCAGGCATGGCGGCGCATGCCTGTAGTCCCAGCTACTCGGGAGGCTGAGGCAGCAGGATTGCTTGAGCCCAGGAGTTTGAGGTTGCTGTGAGCTAGGCTGATACCACGGCACTCTAGCCCAGGCAACAGAGCCAGACTCTGTCTCAAAAAAAAAAAACAAAAAAAAAAACCCGGGAGGAGGTTGTGGGGACCCCAATTTACAGCTAGTCTGTGCAAAGCGCAGGCCACAGCCTGGGGCTTGCAACTGGGGGCAGCGCCGTCTGGTGGGACTGAGCCCCGACCCTGCGGGAGCTGCCACTGTCTCCAGGTAGGTCGGGTCAGAACTGAATGGAGGACAGCCCGCTGGTGTCACTGCAGAACTGGTTGATTGGTTGCTGGTGGGGAGAAGTCCCTACATCCTTTTTGGTGACCAGAGGTCACAGAAGCCTTCTCTGCTGTCGAGCGAGAGTGTAGGAGAAACTGAGGTTTGCCTTTTCCCCTGCATGCTCGGAGGCACATCCTATCATTAGCCCCACTTTACAGATGAGAAAATAGGCCTAGAGGGGTTAATGATCCCTCTCTCAGTGTGGAGCCAGGTTTGGAATCAGACGGTCTTTCCCAATCTGCTCCTCACCCCAGTGGCCCGCCGAAGGGGTGGGTGGATTGTGTGTGGACATTAGCCAGTTGTGTGGTTGGTGGCCGTGTAGACTGGGCTGCAAACGCCGTCCAAGCCCCCGTGCCACTCCGTTTCAGAGCGCACACTGAGGCCACCGCCCTCGCCTTCCCCAGTGCCCTCAGCGCCCGCAGTCGGCGCGGAGGGGGGAGGGCCGGCCCGTGTCCTCCCCGAGACGAGACGCAAGTGGGGTGCGCTGGAGCCGCGGCCTGAGGGGGCAGCGGGGGAGGAGGCCTGGATCCTTGGGGGGGACGAGCTCTGGCTCACCCCCCATCCGCACACCCAGTGAGCGCACACCGCTGGGACCAAGCACAGACTTCTCGAAAGAATGAAAAAAACTCGTGAGCGACCGAAATCCTCAGAGCTAGAATGAATGACTCTATTTTACAGCAATGTTTTGTTCCTTCAAATGGGGCCCAATTTTACCTTCCTTACACATTTTAAAATTAAATTCCATTTTTATTAGATGATACTTATGTGTTGTACTATTCGAAAGGCGGAGAAGGGGTGGAGAGCAGAAAGTCTCTGTGCCACCGGCGCCTCCCAGTTGCAGAGGGGACTGTCCCACTCGCAATGCAGTTCAGCAGCCATTGCTCCTGCTCAGCACCCCCTCCCCCGTCCCCTCTGCAGGTGCCCTGGGACCAAGCCCTTCTCCATCCTTCCAGAGATGTCTGTACGGGTTTGAATGGGTGTGTCCGTCTATCCAGGGCTCTCGGCCTTGTCTTGTTGGGTTTGCCTCCTCGGAGACTGTTTCAGACGAGGCATACAGAGCAGGCCCCTTCTTTCCCTTAGCATCGCGTCGCATGGTACAGGTGCACTATGGTTTATTTAGCTGCTCTTCTGTAATATTTAACCAGTGCTCAGTGTATTTAATCAACTCCAATCAGGTCGTTTCTAAATTGTTTCTGTCACAAACAGTGCTGCCTTGTACCCAGCCGTTTCACCCACTGTCCGAGCACATCTGTAGGATGCAGCCCTAGAATCGGGTTGCCGGAGAAGCAGAGGAATGACTTCATAACGGTGGAATTTCGGTCATCTGTGGCAGGCATAGATGAGATGTTTTGACGCTCAAGTGTTGGGTGTGTCAGATCCTGCCGGGCAGTCAGTGTCCGTGGGGCCCCCCTCTAGTGTATTTGGCGTTAGAGAATGGTATTTGTGAATTTGCTGGCTTGTTCTTCTCTGAAGAGAAAAGAGAGAGCTCACAGCAGAAAGGGAGCTTTTTGGAGTCCGGCCAAGGCTGACAGGCCCGCTACCATCTCCCCTCATTTCTGGAGTACGACCACGCTGGGGAACAAGACACCTGGGTCACTCAGCAGTGGGGGCACCAGAGACCCGGGTGGAAAGTGTGAGAAGTCCAGGATTCAGACCCCAAAGAAACATATGGGCTGAAGATGGTCTGGCCCTAGAATCACTTCCTGGAGGATAGGAGCACGGTCCCTGCCAGTCCTAAAATATACTGAGGATGTGATTCCTAACACCACGAGATGCGTGGGTGGGTGGGTGGATACATACGTAGATTCAAAGACATGGATAGGTGGTGACCCATCAAGCAAGCACGAACTTATATCTGCTTCATTAGGTAACTTCTTTGACCTCCTTGAGCCTCAGTTTCCTTGTCTATGATGGGATTAACTGTGCCTTTTTGTGGGGCTGTAAAGAGGAACCAACAGATAATGTGCATAGAGGACCCTGCACGGTGCCTGGTACACAGTGGGTACCCACATACGGTGGCAGTTGCTATCACTTATGATGAGGGGACATTCTCTTCTTGGTATATTGAAGGCTTTTTTTTGGCAGGAGCCAGTTCACGCTGTTTTACCCTTGCCTTCAAAGGGGATGACTGCGTCAGGTAGGGGTCCTCAGCCTTCTTTCCCTCCCAGCATGCGTGCTGGGTGGCATTTGGGTGCCTGGCACACTCCCAGCGTGCTTGGCAGGGCAGGATTTCTGGCTACACTCATTTATCTCCAGGCCAGGAAAGCAACCTAGAATCCACTTACATTTATATTAAAACAATAAATCAATAAAGGAAAGGAAAAGCAAACATCCCTGAGACTTTGGTCTTACAGCTACGACTTATTTGCACAACTGCACCCAGCTTATGCCCGTTGCCTTCTAGAGTAATAATGGGTGGAGGTGAGGGCTATGGGTACCCTGGGGTGTCTCATTTCAGTGGGTTTGGGCAAACTCTTCTCTCCAGATATGAAATTGGGACATTTATCAGAGGCGTCTGGCTGCTATTCCCCGCATGCCAGGCAGAGGTGCTAAGTCCTCTGCAGCGACCCTGGGGAACCACAGGCACCCCAGACCTTAGCTGGTGGGTGGCTCAGCTGCTTGGCTAAGGGGGTCAGGCCTTGCAGGCCCAGGCGGGCTCTCTGGGTCCAGCAGGCAAGCATGAGCTTGACCTGCCAAAGCAGCTGCTTTAAGCCTCAGACTCTTCCTCTGGGGTATGGAATCCAACCCCACCTGACCCCTCCCAGCACCCCCAGCCCAGCCCCGCAGGACTAACTGTTCTCTCCTCTGTGTCCCTGTGGCGCTTTGTTCCCGCAGCTATGAAAGCATTCACCGTTGGCTCTAAATACAGCTCTCCCCCTTCCAAGGCAATATATTCTTTTTATTTTGCTTGTTAGAGATTTTATGCAATCTCAAATTCTTCATTAAAATGGCCCTGGGGTTTACGTGTTTTTTTGTCTATGAGATTAGATTTGAAAATGTAAATTGGTAGAAAGAGTTGTGGAAAATCAGGCCTGTCCATTACCTCACTATGGATGCTGCCCTTAAATCATGTTCTCCTCCATTCTACAGTCAGCTAGTCATTCAACAAACACTTACTGAACTCCCACTTTTGTGGCACTACACTAGGCTCTGGGATAAATGGGACCTGGGCTATGCCTTAGAGGCCAACACAATGTGGCTATCTAGCCCTAGATTTTGCTGACATACTAAAACCTCTCTAGAGTGTGAGAAGTCAACTTATAGGACTCCTTTCTGAGTGTAATTTCCTAGAGCTTTGAGACCATCTCTATGTTTTAAAATAATGTCATTAAGTTTTTAATTGTGATTTAAAAAACATATTCAGCTAGGCACAGTGGAATGCACCTACCTATAGGCCAGAAACTCAGGAGGCTGAGGCAGGAGGACTGCTTGAGCCCAGAGTTCGAGACCAGCCTGGGCAACATAGTGTGACCCCGTCTCAAAAATAGATAAATCGATCAATCAATCGATTGGAAAAAAAAATCCTAGTTTCTTAATCTGCAATATCTATTCATTTACCAAAATTTGTAAAAGGCACCGTGCCTAGAGGGAGCATAAGAAGAAAATACAAAATCTCCACCTTCCTGGACCTAAATCTAAATTATTTTTTGTTTTTTTTTTTTTTTTTTGAGACAGAGTCTGGCTAGAGTGCTGTGGCGTCAGCCTACTCACAGCAACCTCAAACTCCTGGGCTCAAGCAATCCTCCTGCCTCGGCCTCCCGAGTAGCTGGGACTGCAGACATGTGCCACCATGCACGGCTAATTTTTTTTCTATATATTTTTCGTTGGCCAATTAATCTCTTTCTATTTTTAGTAGAGACGGGGTCTCGCTCTTGCTCAGGCTGGTTTCGGATCACCTCAAGTGATCCGCCCGCCTCGGCCTCCCAGAATGCTAGGATTACAGGTGTGAGCCACCGCGCCCGGCCTTAAATCTAAATATTAATAACAGAAGTCACATGCAGACAGCAAATCAGCGTATTATTTCATTTTTTATTGCAAGTGGTATTCCGTCCTTTGTTCATTGGATTATAAGTATTTTTGGTACGTACTATGTTGTTAGGTGCTCCCGAGCCTATGGAAGATGTTGAAAGTGTGTCCCTGCCTTTGAGGAACTGGAGAGAGGAAGGAACTAGAGTCAGGTAGAATATGAGGCCACCGTGGCTCCAGGCCAAGAAGCCCATTAAATATGAGCCTGTAGGCTGCTTCACAGGTAGAAGGTTCTGAGGAATAGAAAGGCCATTGTGGAAGGAAGGAGGACATCCCAGCCAGGGGATGGGCAGAAGTTAAGGTCACAAAGTGTTTGGAATTTTGCATGAGCAATTGAGCCAGCAGGGGACAGGGGAGAACTTGCTCCCAACAGCACCAGCCGCAGGGCAGGCCCAGGGTGTGGTATGTGACGTCCAGTCTGCTGCCTGCAGTGAGGCTGTGCTTTCTCTTAATACTTCCTTTCCCTCTTCTCTCACCCAGCTTCTCTGCAGCCCCTTCAAGGGTGGCATGATGCCCTTCACCCTCCACCTGAGGTCCTGCCTTCCCTCTGCCAGAAGGTGTGTGATTCTACAAAAGAAATTAAGCAGCAGAAACACATCCAGCACAGCAGGGGGTAAGTGGTGCTAGATGTTTAAAAAAAAAAAAATTCCTGGAAATACCAGCGATGTAGGCCCAGAAATTCCTGAGACTTCTTGCTTCTGCATGGGAAATAGAAAAAGCAGGATGATATGATAGTAATTCGGGTCACTATTTCACCGTCCAGAAGGAACTGGCACCTTGGACCAGACTCGTGTGTGGAAATCTCAGCAGATGTGTCTAGCACCACCCAGTTCTGCTTGGTCACCTCAGCTCTGTAAGAAGAACTGGTCAACCTCCAGTGGGCTCGGATGATGAGAAGGGTTTTCCCTCCAGGGAAAAGCACTCCCAGGTCACCCTGCAGTTTGATCTGATTGTGCTACAGGCCAATTCTCCCTACCCTTGGCTGGTCTTATTCTCTGGGTAGCACCCACCTCCCCACTGTCTCCCAGGAGAGACACGCAAGGCTCTAAAGGGTCCTGCAAGAAAAAAAAACAACAAACAGTTATCAAATGTGTTATTGACCTAAGTCACAACAAAATCTCACATTAAAAAAATATATATTTTTCTGGTTATGGTAGAAGTGACAAAAGGAAAAACTAGCAGCACTTGTTTAAAGTACCAGAGCAATACAGTTTTCCTTTAGTTTATCGATGCATATGGCTTCTGTTGCTATTTATAGGCGAACAGAGTTATCTATTGTTACATAGGCTTAAAATGACAGTTCTCACAATTCTGCAATTGAGGCTGGGCTCAGAGGGGTGGTTCTTCTGTTTCCCATGGTGTCTGCTGGGCTAGACCATCCACAATGGCTTCTTCCTCACATGTCTGGTGTCCACCGGGGTGGCTGCAGCAGCTGAGACTGGCCGAGCATTTCTTTCTCTCTGTGAAGCCTTTCTAATAGTGGTAGCCAAATTTCTTTACATGGTAGCTCAGGACTCCAAGAGAAAGTGTTTCAAGAGGATAATCCCTGAGGCACAAGCACGTGTCAAACCTCTGCTTGCTTCACTTACTAATGTCCTGGTGGCCAAAGCAAAGAGAGAGAGTGAGAGAGAGTGTCACCAGGGTAATAGTCTGTCACAACCTGTCACACACAGTCAGCAAGCACAAGCTTAGCCCCTGGTTGAGAACTGCTTGCTAGAACCTCAGAGAAGCAGCAGAACGGAGCAGCCAGGGATCCTGGAGTCAGACAGCCGGGCGTCAATCCCAGCTCTGCTCTGTACTGGCGACGGAGCTGTGGGTAAACTGTGTGACCTCTGTAAGCCTCATCTATAAAATGAAAGTAACAGCAGAATCTTCCCTCTGGAACTGTCAGGAGGGAGCCTGGGCGAGCGCTCAATCCACACGACCTGCAGCCGTGTTATGCTCTGCAAGGAGGGAGGCTCATTTTCCCAAACAGCTGGGAAGCTGCAGCTTGCAACTATCTTCTGGGGCTTTCAATCAGATCGGGAATGATAAAGGGCAGCTTTTTTCTCTTGTCATTATGTTTAAAAAAAAATTAATTTTAGAGCAAAAGGGCTCAGAGGCATCATTCCATTTCTCTCTGCAAAGAGAAGTGTTGTCACCTTGAGGGGGCAGCCCGAGGGACGCAGGGGATGCACAGATCACATCAGACCGTGACATGCCCTCTCCAAAAAAGTCAGGCCTCTGTGGTCCGCTGCTCTCTCCAGCAAGGGACCGCGGAGGCTTCTGTTCTGTGTCCTGTTGCCGATGGGGGCAACTTGGGGACTTTTCTATTCATCTCTAGCAGCGGAGATGAACAAAACCAAAACACAGTGCCCTGCGACGTGCATTTAATTAAAAAGAAAACAAAGAAGCCTTGTGTGCGTAATACCACCCTGATTTATTGTGTTGAAAATCCAATTTGTTCTGACAAACAGGCTTTGGAGGTAAGAAGTGCGTGGGCGGGGGAGGGGAGGTCTCTAAGGCAGGCGTGTCCCCCTCCGGCTTGTTCTAGGTCCTGTTCGGAGCCATGCTGGACCTGCGGCAGCTTCCTGGGGCTTTCAGGAGGGGGGTGGGGGACAGGTCCAGCGTGTCCTCATTTGGGAAGTCTGACTGTGGCACTGGCAGGCACCGTCGCGCTGGAGATAATGAGTCCCAGGCAGCGCCTGCCACTTGGAGTAGGAGCTGGACTTTTCTCAGCAGATGGCTGCAGCTGCTTCGCTCCACCATCCCGGAGGAGGAGGGTGCTTAGGTGATGGTGCTCCCGTCCCAGGGAGGCCCAGTGGATGGGGTTCAGCGATGAAGTGAGAGGAGCCTGGGGGTCGCCTGCCCCAGGTTTAAATCCTGGCTGTGCCACGCACCAGCTGTGTAACCCTGGGAAAGTCACTTCATCTCTCTGAGTCTAATGTTCCTCGTCTATAAAATATAGATGATTACACATGCAAATTACTTAGCACAGAGAGCCTGGCACATGGTAAACACTCCATAAATATTAGCTAACAACCTTATTACAGAAAAGAAAGGCCTACACGTTGACAGAACGAAGCTGGCAGTTAGGAGAATTGTCCCCAGGGTTATTTTTGCAGGAGAGCATAATTATGTTTTTCTTCGGAATGGTCTTAATCTCAGAATATTGAGAAAAGCACAGAGAAGAAAATTAAAGTCACCCAGTCTCGCCACCTGGAGACAACCATGATGAATCCATGTAGATGTATTTCCTTCTCGTTTTTTTCTCTCATTGATTTTATGAAAAGGAGAGTATGTCGAACATACTGCTGTTACCTAGTGTCATTACGTTAATGGTAGGTCACAAACATCTTTTAATATAATCATCAAGGGTGGGGCATGGTGGCTCATGCTTGTAATCCCAGCACTTTGTGAGGCCGAGATGGGAGGCTAGCTTTAGGCCAAGAGTTAAATATTTCTTCTATACTATAATTTTAAATGTCAATACTGAGTTCCATTATATAAATGTACAGTAACTCCAAGCCCTGCTTCCTGAGCACCAATGTGCTAAATGATTGACACACATTAACTCACCAAGGTCTCTTTGGGGTAGGTACAATGACCACCACCTTGCAGATGGGAAAACTGAGGCTGATAGATGCAAGGCCACTGCCCAGGGTCACACAGCTGGTTCGAGGCAGAAGCAGGATTCCAGCCCAGGTTTGTTACATCTGAAGCCAAAGGACTTCCCACACCAGAGGGTGGCTGGCTGTCCCCAGAGCAGGTCATGGCGTGCAAGCGGAGGTCTCCGCCTATGGCTCTGTTAAGACTGTGAGCCGCTCAGCCAGGAATCTGCCCAGACCAAAGATGTGAACAGCCTCTTTCCCAGAAAGGATGCCCAAATGGCCAGTAAGACATATGAAAGGTACTCAACCACATTCGTCGTCAGGACAATGCAAATTAAAACCACAATGTGACACCACTGTACTCCTGCCAGAATGGCTAAAATGAAAAAGACGCGCGACACCAAGTACTGGAGTCGCTCACCCTCCACTGGCGGGAACGGAAATTGGTACAGCCACTTTGGAAAACTGCTTGGCAGTATCTATGAAAGCTGAACATGTGTGTACCTTACAACCCAGGTATGTGCCAAACAGAAATGCACATATATGTACCCCAAAGTGCATGCGTTCCAACGTTCATGGCAGCACCCCTTGTAACAACCTCAAATCGGGAACCACTCCGATGTCCATCGGCAATAGGATTGGGTGACACTCGTTGCGTGAATGTGCCACACATCTCGAGAACGAACCGACTATTGCTAAACACAACAATATGGACGAATCTTCCAAACCTGTTTTCCCGTGAAAGAAGCCAGACGTAAAAGACACATAGCACATGGTTCCATTACATGAGGACCGAGAGCAGGCAAACGCAATATGTGAGGCTAGAAGTCAGGAAAGTGGCTGGTGTTTATCTGGATGCTGGTTACCCGGGTGTGTTCATTTCATGAAAATTCACCAAGCTGTACGCTATGCGCACTTTTCTGGGTAAGTGCGATGCTTCGATGAAGTTAAATTAGAAGTCAGGTGCAGGGTTGTGTGCCTGTAGTCCCAGACACTTGGGAGGCTGAGGGGGGAGGATAGCTTGACTCCAGGAGTTGGAGGCCAGCCTGGGCAACATAGTGAGACCCTATCACTTATAAAAGAGTTACATTAGAAAAGGTCCGTCAAGAGCCAACTCACTGCACGTTTGTCCCCTCTCCCGCCAGGGCTCCGGCCAGCCAGCGTGGTGGTCCTGCCCAGCTCCCTCGCTGCAGCCTTCGAAAGGTTCTGCCAGGCCAACAATGGCCCTCTGCCCCTGCTGGGCCGAAGTCAGCCAGAAAAGTGGCTGCTGCCTGCCCGAGGCGCTGCCCCGGACTCCAGGTAAAACTGCGTGATTGTGAGTTAGGACTTGGGGTGGGCCAGATGCTGCCGCCAGGCGTCTCTGTGCAGCCTTGGGGACGCCACAGTGCCTGGCACAGAGCCGCACCCAGGGCTGCTGCTCAGGAACGAGCCTGCCATCCCCACCATTCCCACTGCTTCCCGCGCCCCCTGCCCCTGCCCCTGCTCCAGGTGAAATCGTTGGAATCACAGGGAAATCCAGCCCTGGAGAAATCCCAGTGGCTCTCCCATCTGTCCACCTTGTCACCCAAGCCAGAAACCTGCCTGCACAGTATTAAGAAGAGCATAAAAATACTTGAGTTACCAGCACCCAGCCAGAGACACGTTGTGGTGTTTTGCTCCCAGACCTTTACACTACAACCTGTGGAATAAATGGTACCCCTGGGGCTGCTCGTGACACCTCTCCGGTGAGTCACGCTCCCCACCACGGCGCAGCCTCTCGTCGTCCCTCACCTAGACCTTTAGGCATCTTGTCTGGTCCCCGGCCCTAGTCTCGCCCTGCCCTGCGCCCCGCCCCCCGTCTTCTGCTCTCCCACCAGCGGGGCTCTTTCTGTGTCTACCTCTGGTCCCGTGACGCTCCTAGTGCAAATTCCTCAGTGTCTTCCTGTGGCTGGTACCGCAGCCTGGTCCAAGCCCCGCGGTGACCTGCCCAGCTCGCTTTCTCCCCTGGCTCCTGATACTCCAGTTGTCCTCACCCCTCTCCCCAGGCAGAAAGCTCCCAGGAGTGTGCTGTCATTGTCATTCTCTGGACTCCAGGGATGAGAGTGTCCTTTGGAGACCCCCCTGCGCCCAAGTTTGCTCCTCTACATTTTCCCTGGCATCTCCTACGCTGCCGGCCTGGGGACCCCTAGAGCAGGCCCCCCGCTGGGCCACGGGGCTTGATGCCGTCACGCCGCTCACACACTGTTTCCTCTGCCTAGACGCGCTTTTCTCCTTGTCCAACCAGCAAACTCCTGTTCATACCTCAAAACCCAGCACCTCCTCCTCTGTGGGAGAGAATGGATTTCTCCCTTCTCTGTGTCACTCCACCTCGACTGCGTCTGTTCTCAATGCAGTCTCGCCTACCACCATTAGATTGCAAGGTCCTTAAAGGTTGGGACAGTGTCTTCTCCATCGCCTGATATTACCAGTTTCTGATCTGGTACCCTTGGAAGGACGCCAGCAGGGCCCCTTGCTGAAAACTATGCATCTTAGCTGGGCGCCAGGACTGGAAATTTCAGCACTAACCCCCTCTTCTCTCCCCGGTCCTTCTAACAAGTGCACTGTCGGGGCCACAGTGAGGGTCTGGTGGCCTGTGAGCTTTCCCTTGTGTCCCCAGAATGGGCTGTCCCCAGTTCCTGAAATACGAGTTCGGTGCCTGCACAGGCAGCCTGGCCTCCCTGGAGGGGCACTCGGAGCAGCTGAGGGACATGGTGGCCTTCCTCCTGGACTGCAGCTTCTCCCTGGAGGGGGCCCTGGAGAAGGTGGGGCTCCCCAGAAGAGACCCAGCAGGTCACGGCCACACAGGAGCATACAAGGTAGGGACACACAAAAGCATGATGGCTTGAAGACGTGTAATACCTTTTATTTTCCTGTGGTGGGGAGGACGTTGGCACAGGAGGCAGAAAACCTAAGCTCTCGGCCCAGCTCAGCCACTTTCTAGCTATGCAACCCAGGACAAGTGGTCAGTCTCTCTGAGCCAACCTTGGTCCTGCCCTGGTCTAGCCTCGGATGACCCAACCTTGGACTGTGCACGCCCAGCGTGGCCCTTCTTGATGGTTCATTGCGGCTGTGTAAACCCAACCCGTCTGGAATTTGTCCTTTAACTTAGGGCATCTCAGTGAGATTTTGAAGATCCTGCCTGTTCTGAGGGGCGGTGCCAGGGAGAACGTGCCTGGCTCTGTAAATGTCCCAGGATTAGTGGCAGAGCTTCAGCCAGGCTGTTAGCCACTGGGTTATGTCCCTGTGCAGACAGCAGGGTCATGCTCCTGGCTGGAGGTGGCTGGAGGTGGCCTCTCCTGGGACGTACCCGCTGTTGGGTGCTGCCTCCCTGCACGCCCCTGAGCTTTGCTTCCAGCCACCACTGGTCACCGGGACTGAACTAGATTCCCTCATTCCACTGACCCCTTCCTGGACATTTTTTGGGTAAAGTCTAAGAATTCACTCTGTTAGATCAGTGGTCAGCAGCATAAAACACTGCCGGGCTCCAGTTTCTCTGTCTATGGAGGACTCAGATTGGAGACTTCGTCTAAAATGTCCTGGTGCGGGCTCCGGCCAGACAGGCCCCCGCTGCCCTGATCAGAAACGAGGCTGCCCGCAGTCTGCTGCCTATCACATGTGTCCAGCGTGTGCCCGAGGGGTTTGCCGGGAGTTAGGGAAGGGTGGGGACGTGCCCCAGCTGCCGGTGGGGGCCCACGGCAGGGTCTGGCCTTAGACTGCACCGTCGTTTGTGGCAGGTGGGAGCTGGGAGGGTCCTGTGGCCTACGAGGTGCAGCCTCTCATTTTAGATGAGGAGACCGAGGTCTAGAGAGAGCAAAGGACTTGCCCGAGTCCCAAAGCCGCACTGGACTCCCGGCTCCCATCTGTAAAATGTCAATAATAGAGGTGTGATGATTAAAGGATGCTTTGAAGAGAGGTGACAGTGCGTGCCCATAGTAAGTGCTCGACATGCCACTCTCCCACATCTCACTGACCCGATCGATGGTTACCAAAGAGCTCCTGGGAGAGATGGCCAGGCAGCCATCTGGGATTCCATGGGTGGCCACGACGGGATGAAGGGCGCTCCCAGATGGGATGTGCCTTAGCCTTGGAGAGCGGCCAGCTCTGAGTGGCCCCAGCATGTTCTCTGTCACTGGCGCTGTCATGCACACTGCTGGCAGGCACACCAAGGCTCCATCCTGCTGCCACCAGGGTGGTAAAAGCAAGCCCTTTTGGTGGCAGCCAAGGCTGTCCCAGCGGATTACAGTCCCAGCCATGTCCTAAATCTTCCATAAGCCCCATTGCAGGTCCAGAAACCACTCAGGGGAGGAAAACGTAGCACCAGCGAGAGTCACGCAGCCATCCCGGGCAGCTGCTCTTGAGGCGAGAGGAACGACACAGGCTCAGTGGGGCCTGGGACAGACGCCTGTCCCTTGTGTGGATTCAGGAGGCAGAGCAGACGCCAGCTCCTCCTGCGAGTTCCAGCCCAGGGTTCCCCTCCCTGCCTCCCTCTGCCTCTGATCCTCCCAGAGTGTCTTCAAACCTGTGGCCCACGGGCCCCTTGAAGTTCCTGAGAATCTCAGAGGGTCCATGACATCCGATGGGAAAAATATTACATTTTTGTTTTCATAGCCTCAAACTGAAATTTAGCATTTCCTTCGATCATGAATGTGGGCAACAAACGACCACCCCCGTGTCAGCGGACCCTGTGACTTTGTGGCTGCCGGTGGAAATCACAGACAGTTTCAAATCCCATTACAGTTCTTCCTGATATCTCAAAAATATCCTATGTGTCTATCACTGCTTGAAAATCACAATGGTGGTAGGTGTGCCCTCTTTTTCCTCAAGCTGCTGTGAGGCACACATATTGCTGTATCACATTTTTTCATAATTTTATAACTGCACTTGTGATATAATTGTCTTCCTGTGGAATCCTAAGCTTTTTTTTTTTTTAATGCATTTAAAACATTACTTTGATCAGGGGTCCATAGTGGCGCCAGACTATTGAAGGGGTCTGTGGCACATAAAAGTTAAGATTCCCTATTTTATTTTATTTTGAAACAGAGTCTTGCTCTGTTGCCCAAGCTAGAGTGCCGTGGCATCAGCCTAGCTCACAGCAACCTCAAACTCCTGGGCGCAAGCAATCCTCCTGCCTCAGTCTCCTGAGTACCTGGGACTACAGGCATGCACCACCATGCTCCGCTAATTTTTTCTATATATTTTTAGTTGTCCAATTAATTTCTTTCTATTTATAATAGAGGCGGTCTTGCTCAGGCTGGTCTCGAACTCCTGAGCTCGAGCGATCCTCCCACCTCAGCCTCCCAGAGTGCTAGGATTACAGGCATGAGCCACCGCACCTGGCCAAGATTCCCTATTTTATACCAATAATTACCAACAAATTTCCCCATCTGTGTGCCACATAGAAGTATAATAGAAGCTAATTTTTATAATAGCTACCAGGACCTGCTCTTGCATTCAGCTGCCTTGAACTGTTGGTGTTCAGGGCTTAGAACTGTACTAATTCCATTTTTTAAGATATTTCACTTGAGTTTGTTTTTTTTTTGTCAGACAACCGTGCCTTGTGCCACCCATGCTGGCTTTTGCTGCCCTCTGGTGGTCACGGCGAGGCCCGTTCCCGAGGTTGAGCTGGGAAGGTTGGTGCGGGCCAGCTGCTCCCTCGGTGGGGCACGAGGACAGCCTGTTCACATCGGTGACCCAGGTCAGTGTCCCCTCTGGTTCCGGACTCTGACAGCCTCCCCAGGACTTGGGCCTGAGAAGCAGCAGACAGGAACGTGCTGCGTTCCTGGGCTCCCACAGTGTGTCCTCACCTTTTCCAGGGGGTCGGGGAGCGAAGGGCCTGGATGAGGCTCAAGGACTCTAGCAGCAGGACCAGGGTTTACAGATGCCCCTCAGTTGGCAAAACAGCCAGCCTCACCCTTTGGGGATGTTTGGTAAACATAAAGCTCCTATGAACTTCAAATGAACTTGGGGTAGGAGGAAGGAGAGGGCGGCAGCAGGGCTCCTTGCCTGGAGATTTGGGCTCAGAGCGAGCTCTCATCTGGGCTGCTGTTCACTGGCATATTTGGGCAGGAGAAGACTTTTGTTCACATGTTAATTCAAACTGAAACCCGTTGATCCCAGCGTATGAATTCAACCCGAGTAAGGGAACAGGTCAGAGGGTGAGGGGCTAAAGTCCAGAAGCTGCCGCAGCCTCCCGGAGGTTCCCCGAGGGCCCAGTGAGAGCTTGGGATTGGGCCTTGAGTGCGGGTCCGAGTCCAGGGCACCAGGAGCTCACCCGGCTGCGTAACAGGCAAAATCAGACAAAACACGGCATTCTGTGAAAACGGGACCAGCCACTCATCAGTGGCCGCCGCGTGGATGGGACCCGCTCGCTCTTGCGCCCTGCCCTGCTTCCTCTGCAGCCGCGTCTGAGATAGAGGAATTCAATAAGTCGAAACTGAAGAAGACAGAAACTCAAGAGAAAACTCCACGGCCTTCCAGAGAAACGCTCCAACAGGAGAAGCAAGCAGGCCCGTTGCTGCAAGGCAGCGCCGCCAGCGTGCACCGTGAGCTCCGCAAGCAGCGCCTTCTTGTTTTGCTTCTTTTAGCCGCTTAACTTTGTAAGACGCAAAGAGGTTGGATCAAGTTTAAACGGCCATGCTGCCCCTTTCACATCGAAGAATCGAGAACGACTGACAGCAAGGCCGCGCCTGCCTCTCCCCTCTGCCTGTCGGGCTGGCAGGGAAGGAGAACTTGCATGTTGGGGAAGGAAGCAGCGGGGCGGGACGATAGCGAAATCTAGAGTAAAACCAAGCTGGCCCAAGGTTTTCTGCAGGCTGCTAAATGCAGTTTAATCAGAACGCCATTTTTTTGTTGTTGTTCAAATGATTTTAATTATTAGAATGCACAATCTTTTAAATATGCAAACAAAAAGTTTTAAAAAGTGAAAAAAAAAAACTGCAATCAGCACTTGCTGCCTTCATCATATAAGGATGATCTCATGGCTGGGCGCGGTGGCTCATGTCTGTGATCCTAGCACTCTGGGAGGCCGAGGCAGGAGGATCACTCGAGGTCAGGAGTTCGAAACCGGCCTGAGCAAGCGCAAGACCCCGTCTCTACTATAAATAGAAAGAAATTAATTGGCCAACTAATATATACGGAAAAAATTAGCCGGGCATGGTGGCACATGCATGTAGTCCCAGCTACTCGGGAGGCTGAGGCAGGAGGATTGCTTGAGCCCAGGAATTTGAGGTTGCTGTGAGCTATGCTTATGCCACGGCATTCACTCTAGCCTGGTCAACAAAGCAAGACTCTGTCTCAAAAAAAAGATGATCTCAGGACCACCCACCAGGAAGGTGTCTGCTGAATGGTTTTAGCATTACTGGGGATGGGTTGGGCCCAACACGTCCATCTTTGCTGTCCTCCTCAGCACTTTGGTGGCCGGCCAGGGTTAGGACACAGTTGGTGGTCCAACAACAGAGTTTAGGTTTGTGTAATGTGACTCAGTCTGTATCAAGATAAACTCGAGGATGCTGGCTTTGTTAGCAATCTGTATGGTGCAAGAGCTGGGCTAAACGCACCCAAGGCTTCCAGAAATCACATCACAGAGTTCGAGATTCCATGTTCTGAAACTGTACCACTCACCACGGACTGTGAGTCACGGGGTATCTGAGTTGTTAAAGCCTTGTGAGGGCGAGGGGAAACTTCCCCTTTCTCCTAAGATCCGCTGAAAGATCAACTCACAATTAAGGCTGATTAACTAGAGGAGGAGGTTTATTTATCTTGCACATGGGGAGAATCACCGAGTGATTACCCAACATCTCAATGGGATTCAGATATTTTTATATGCTCCTGTTAGAGGGGTGGGGGCGATGAGGGATGCAGGTGATTCTGTTTAGGTGTAATAAATAGTTGTTAGGTAGGGTGAATGGATGGGGGAAACAGATTGACTATAAGTTAACCTGAGAGACAGGTATTATGTTTAAAATGATTTGGGCCAGGTCGGGTTGCATTCTTGATTTTCTTTCCTGCAAGATAATGAGATAACAGGGAAAGGAAGGGAGGGGAAGTCCATTGTTCCTTTGTTGGGTCTATCTGGTTATGCAGATAGATGGAAAGCCCCTTCCAAGGACCTGGTGATCTCTAAGGGCCTTTAACTCAAAATATTCTTTATACCAAGGAGTCATCTTTTGGGGTGAAATTTCCTGAGCTCCTTCAGCCTCAATTCCTGCTCTCCTTCACCTCCCCCTCAAATGCCCTTTGAAATAATCCCGTGACTGGAGTGCCTTTCGGAGAAAGAACCATATACTACTCAGTGAGGTCTAATTGCATGGTACCTGCCAAGGGAATTACCTTTTCTTTTTCCATGGGCAGAACTGCTGGGAATCAAGGAACTTTCCAGACCCGACTACGGGGATGCTGTGGTGTGTCAGCCAGGGGATGTTCCGGTGTTCTGGCCTTCCCAGCTGACCAGTCTGGAAGCTGTCAGCAGCTGCAGTAAGTTGGGGGGTAACAGGGCAGTTGCTCTAGCCTAGAATGGAACCCTACTTCTCTAGTTCTTGAAAGCGTAGGCTTACAGCCCAGTGGTTTTTAAAATAAAGCCATAAAACAAAACACAGGACAGAGACCTACGGCCTGCAGTGAATACCTCTCTGGCTTCCTTCTTTCAACCCCGGGGCTGGCCTCACCAGAGCAGCTTGTCTTGTAGCTCAAATGTTTTGATTAAATATATTTCTGTCTGCTGAAGTCTCATAGCCCATTCTAACAGTAGGATAAACCTTTAGCTTGACTTTTTGAGATATGATAGAGATCCGTGGGACATTGGAAACAAAGGTGAAGCCAAGAAACACAACCAAACGAACCATTCCCACGGTGTGTGCAAGGTGGTTGAAACTAGTACCATCCGAACGTTTCTTTCAAAGGTGATGTTACAATGAAGAAACACACGGGGGCGCCCTCACTGCTCATGGTAAGGCAGGAATGTGATAGAAACATTACAAATAACAACTGTTGAGGCCCATGGTCATAGACACTGGAAAATTCCGTCCAGGTCACCCCCATTTGCACTCTAAAGCATAGAATTCAATGTTACTATAATTTATTTTGAAAGCATTCATGAGAGTTTAGCTGTCAGTATGGCCTCATAAGAGGGAAAGATTATTTTTACTATGTTGAGGAGGCATAGATGCCAAGATCCGCAGGATTCTGTTCGTTTGTCTAGTTAATGTGCATGTATTGAGCACCTACTGTGTGCCAGGCACCCAGACCTGGGGAACACAATGCTGCACTGGACAAGATTCAGTACTCCAGGAGCTGTGGTCATCTCTGAGTGTGTGTGTGGGTGTGTGCATGGGCACGTCCACACTCATGCATCCCTGGCACAGTGGCCCTGCCGCTCTCCTGCCGTCAGCCTGGGGGAAGCCCTGCAGGGGAGGTCCCACTGCCTCGGGCACCCCAGCACACTCCAGCCCTTTAGCCCTGACAGTGATAGCATATTTGACTATAAATGACAGCAAATGACATCAGTTAAGGGCAATCTCGAATCATTCTCAGATGCCAATATTTAGAGGCCAGGTGCTGTGGCTCATGCCTGTAATTCCAGCACTTTGAAGGGCCAAGGCAGGAGGATCTCTTGAAGCCAGGAGTTCAAGAATAGCCGCGGCAACGTAGCAAGACCCCATCTCTACAAAAAACAAAAAAATAAAAACTTCAACATTTAAACTTCTATTAGAAATAGATTATTTGCTGCGCACCTTGCAACTGTTGGCAAAACCCTATGTCACACTCTAAACTGACTGTTCTGATGTTTACCCAGCTTTAGGGCTACTAGTTTTAGGTGCTGTCCAAAACACAGAAATGCAACAAGTACATTCATCAGATTCATTATTTCTTCCCCTTACATATCATGTCTAAAAGTTATTTATCAGTTCTGTCTTTTGAAGTGTTGGCTGACCCTGGCTTTCTATTAAATCTAAGAAACTTTACTGCTTCTGTGAAATCCAAGTTGTTATTTACTCAACTCACATTTACTAAACACCTAGTAGTGCAAGGCACTCCATGAGACTCTGAGATGCATAAGCAATAGTCGTGCTTCTCTAAAAGCACACAGCAGGGTGGAGTTCGAGTACTCAAGGATAATGATGACACCAAAGAAGGCAGAAGAGGTAAATTAAATATAATAAGCATTAAGCACTAGTGAGCCAAGCACAAGGAGATAAAAGTGAGTAAGATTTGTCTGGTTCGATGACACAAACCATCATTTATTGAGGGCTTGCTCTGAACCAGCCACTTTGCTAAACACATGTATGTACATTTTTCAGTTTAGTCCTGACAACAGCCATGTGAGGCATGTCATTATTTTATAGTGGAGGAAACAGGTGTAGACAGGGCGAAGTCACATCTCAAACACAAGTGCATTTGCCACATCGAAGCTATTTCTCCATAACTATGCTAGAGTGTTACACGTTGCCTGTACTCTAGTAAGGGAGAGATTTTTTTTTTTTAAGAACAGGATTAGCATAAACCAAAACAAAATGTAAGTGCTATGAGAAAAATAGAAACTATGTTCACAGAGGGAACCGAATCTAACATTTGCTGGAAAGTCAAGCTAGATGGCTGTGTGCGTTGTAAGAGCTCAGTAGCTGCTCGCTGACATCCATGGGTAAATTGAGGGGATCGCTCAGAGCTCTGGCTGCTGTGGCTGAGGCTGTGCCTCACTTTTCCCACGCTCAACTCAGTTTCCCTCTCCTAAAGGCAGAGGCAACTGTTCAAATGGAGCTAGATGTAGCCATAAGCCAGCTTGTTCTGACCTCGGTGCCAACAGGCGGCACGGGGAGTGCCGTTGGTAGAGGTGACACTCGGGTGCCACCGTGCCCAGCAGCGGTGGCTTAGCGGGGAGCGGATGGGGCTGGATGAACCGGCTGGGCTCAGTCTCTCCTGCTGTGTGTTTCAGAGGCCCCACTGGCTTTCGCCAGCACGCCGGGCAGCACAGTTATGACCGACCTGAAGGACACAAAGGCTCCAGACAGTCTTCTCAGCCCGGAGAGAACCCCAGAGGTCCACCGCATTTCCCAGGATCCTTTGCACTACAGCGTCGCGTCAGCCTCAGCCGTTCGGAAGGTCCGCGAGCTGGAGGCCATGATCTCCCTCGACCCAGGTAAGAAGCACGCACCCTTAACAACCCGGGACACGCATCCCTGCTGCCACGTTTGGTGAAAAAGAGGGCAGGATGCAAAGTATATCCACACTGTGATTTTTTAAGATTTTGTACTGTTGATGAATCCCAAAAAAGTTAGAGGTAAATGCACCAAAATGCTGACATTGATGATCTCTAGGTAGTGGCATCGTGGGTGATTTTTCTTTCCTTCTTTATGGCTTTTTTTATTGTTTTTATTGTTACTCTAAATTTCAACATTAAGCATGTGAGGGCATCTGGTGAGTTTATTAGCTGGGCACGTTGCCACCCGGAACTAAATAGGATTAGGCAGGTAAGGAAAAAAAGAGAGTGATTTCTAGCAGGCGACTGCCATCGTTTCACAAAGTTACCTATGTATTTAATAATGTCCCTAATCTTCCCCCTTTGTGCCCTTGCCCTGGGCTGGGCACAGCATAGGTTTTGTTTAGACTGGGCGGCAGGGCTAGAGGAGGGGATGGAGTCTTCTCTGGGGATCCCAGTAGGGCAGGACCCTGCAGCTCCAGCCTCCAGCTTGCAGCCAACCTGTGTGTCGTGTGTGGTGTCTCTGGGAAAGGACAGCCCTTCTGGACATGGGACAGGGCTGGTAGGATCCACCAGGGCATCTGCTGATTCCCATTGGGAAGAGGTTTGCAGAAAGCTGGTTGACGGGCCTTTAACTTCTAAGCCCAGGTAGCCAGCAGAGAGCATGGTTTCATCCGCTGTTGTGCATGGCATATTCCATTCATTTGTTGGCAAACACTCATGAGAAAATGACAGCACCTCAGTTTCCTCATCAGTATAACAGGAATAATAACAATGTGCACCTCCCTGTTGGGGTTGTGATAGGTAATAATAATAATAATAGCTCTGAACTAGCAAGTTTTATTCTATGCCAGGCATCATGCTAAAAGCATTTACATTCATTAATGGATGAGGAAACTGAGGCATATCAGGTTAAGAAACTTGCCCAAGTCCACATACCTAGTAGGTGACTGGGGTAGAACTTGAATCTACATCGGCGGCTGTCAAAGCCCGTGGTTCATAGATGTCGGCTAAACTAGACTCTGAGTCTAAATGGTATATCACGGTCTTGCCTGGTGTCTCCTGGCTCACACCTTCTTTCCTCTTCTGCACCTTCTCATGGGCCATGTTCCTAAACCTGGAGTGCTAACCACCCTTTGCACCTTGCACGTCTGGGGAAGGGACATGTGGCCCTCCCCTCTGGCCCTTCTGCCTCCTGTTTCCCCAGCGGCTACCTGAATCGATGGTGCTGGGCCTCCGTGGAGCACGGGGAGGTGAGGCCCACCTGCGAAGGTTGACTCTCTGGGCCAGACTCCGGGGCCCCAGACTGAGCTGATGAAAGAGAACAGCGCCCGGGCGGGGGCCTTGCCCTGCTGGCTAGCCCCGTCGCTGAGAATCCGACAGGGTAAACCAGCCCTAGAAATGTCCGACTCTCTCCCCTGGGGCTAGGAGCGGAGGTGGCCCTCCAACAACAGGCCTCTGCGGTAACTAAACCGCCTGCTAAGCCAGCAAGCATGGCTCTTTGCTTGTTTGTTCTTATGTGAGGCTGTTCCTTCACTCACTCTGCAGAATGAATTCCTTTTTGTATAAACACACAGCAAATGTGGGTGATATGCCCACCACAGACACCCCTTTCAGGACGTGTGCTCATGGCTGTGCATGCACAGAGTCTCCCATGTAGTCGGTCTCCTGGGTGGACGGTTCTCAAAATTTCTGCAATACCTTCTCCCTCACAAACATTTGTACCCAGGCTGATGGCTCTCCCACTTAGCGCAGGGTCATGAGGGAAGATGAATTATTAAGTCTTCCATTAGCCTAGATGAAAAATAGTACTTGGGAAGTAAATTTCCCGCAGACGGGGTGCGGCCAGTGCTGAATGGAGGGCCGGCCCCAGCGCCACGGGCAGCGCTGGTGCAGACTGTGAGTTGAGGCTCAAAGAATGCGGCTCACGGGGAGGCAGATTTATGACCGTCAGATGCGCCAATGTCGCTACTAAGAACCGTCTTTAATCCTCATGAGCAACAGATACTCTCGATCCCCGCTGTGTTAAATAAGCAGATACAAGACTAATGACGGTGTGCTGAACATGACTCACTGGGCATAATAATAGACCCATAAGTCACTGTCGAGAGGGTGTTGGCTTGCATTTGATGGGGTTTATAGTAATGACTTTTGTCCTGACAATAAAATCATCGTAAATGCATATACCGCTCTTCAGTTGACCAAATTCTCTCTTCCCTTCTCTCCTTTGGTGCTCACCACGCCCCATGAAATACATCGCATCCCAATTTGTTTTTCCTTTAAAAATGTTGTTATTCTTTGTCCCTTTAATCCACAGTACTTCATGTTCATTGTAGAAGTGTCAGAACATTTATAAAAGTAAAGAGTCAATAAAAATTACCAGTGTCCCGTCACAATGAACCGATATTAACAGTCTAGTGTTTGGCCTTGAAGTCTCTTTCTTCAGTCTTGAGCCTGTGCATGCATATATGAATACCATTTTAGGACTTGCTTTTCTCACTTTTTTATTGTGAACATCTTTCCTTGTCATTAAGTAGTTTTCTATGACATCCTTTTTAATGTTTGCATAAAATTCCATTTTACTAATGTCCCATTGTTTTATTAATATTCTATTATTTGACACCATAAACAATGCTGCAGTGAACAGCCTACCTAAGTTTGTGTACGTAACCATAATTGCTTCGTCAGGAATACTAGATACTACAAGTGAATTTTTGGCTCCAGTGAAATGTACGAATCTCAGATACAAATCACCCTCCAGACAGAACTGTTGTAGTTTCCACTCCCACCAGCAGTAGGTGAGAGAGGTGAGAAGCTATGTCCCCATGGTTCTCGTGCACCTGGACCACCCTCCATTCTCCACGTAGGAAAACTGAGGCTCAGAGAGGTCAAGGGACAAGGCCAAGGTCACACAGCTACGATGTGCCAGCACCTGGGCTGGAATGTAAGTTTCCATAACAGGAATCCAAAATCTGTGTCCTTCATATTCTGCAGGCACCTCAGCGGCAAGCCAGTGTCCCCTCATGTCCCTCTGGCCACTGCTGATTTTAGCCACAGCTTGGGCGGAAGTTCTGAGTCACGACTCTGCCTTCATATGGCATTGTTTTGCTCTGAGGTGACCTGAGTTGGACAAAGTCACGATGGTGTATCCCAAGAGCAGCTGCCCATGTGGCAGCCACCATGAGCATCTGCAGAGCAGGCTGCTGCAGTGCTCTCGTCCCCTGGCCCTGCCTGGCTCACCTGGTTCCCAGCATGACCCCAGGTCTCTCTGCTTCTGCACCTGAGGACATTCTCTGTACCTCCAGAGCCCCGTCCCTGCAAGAGGGGCTGAGAGCCGGTGGATAAATGCCCAGTCTCCCTGTGCTGTTTTACCCCACGACTCTTTGGAGCATCTGTGTCAAACAGGATGGAGCCCCATTGCCTTTGGAAGGAACTTGCTCACTCACAGTCCTTTCGTGGAATTATTCCCTTTTCTACTCTTCTTGCATTTCCTGGGATCACCTCCCACTGAAATTTTTATGCCCAAGTCCTTGTCATAGGGTCTTTTTTTTAGGGAATCCCCAACTAAGATGGTCCCATATCCCTTCCTCCGTCTATGCTCCCTGTATTAGTTAGGGTTTGCTAAGCTGCTGTAACAAACAAGCCACAAGGTGCTTTGCTCCAATACAATAGAAGTTTATGCCTCTCACATAACAGTCCAGGTGGGTCTTCCAGGGTGGGTGCTCTGGGTCCACAGGAAGGTGGATCGGCTTTGCCCAGTCACGAGGGGACCCAGCAGCTCTGCCGTCACATTGTGTGGCTCCTAGGGGGCTCTAGCTGTCAACATTCCAGCTGTCAGGAAAAAGGAAAGAACGCGGAGGTGCATGTGGGACGTGCACGGCCAGGCCCAGAGGTGGCACGCGTCACTTCTGTCACATTCTAGTAGAGAGAACCTTGTCCTGTGGGCACACCTAACTGAGAGGAGGCTGGCCGGCCACCTACCTGGCTGCCCTTCACTGCTGGTGGCAGGGGGAGAAAAGTCACTCTGGTGCATTCTGGTGAACCATTCACAGTCTCTGCCATACCCTTCAAATCGACTGCTTAAAAGAACAGAGCAGGCTAGGCCTGGTGGCTCACACGTGTAATCCCAGCACTTTGGGAGGCTAGGGTGGGAGGATCACTTGAGGCTAGGAGTTCCAGTGAGCTATGATTGTGACACTGTACTCTAGGCCTGGGTGACAGAGTGAGATCCTGTCCCTAAAAAAAAAAAATAATAAAAAGAAAGAAAACCAACCAGCTAAAACCCTAAATTACTCTTAGTATAAGTTTCGACTTAATCACAAGTACTTGCTATTACTTTATTTTATGATTTGATCTGATTTGATTTGATTTTTGTTTTGTTTTGTTTTGTTTTGTTTTGAGATGGAGTCTCGCTCTGTTGCCCAGGCTAGAGTGCCATGGCATCAGCCTAGCTCACAGCAACCTCAGACTCCTGGGCTCAAGCAATCCTCCTGCCTCAGCCTCCTGAGTAGCTGGGACTACAGATATGCGCCACCATGCCCGACTAATTTTTTCTATATATTTTTAGTTGACCAATTAATTTCTTTCTATTTTTAGTAGAAATGGGGTCTTGCTCTTGCTCAGGCTGGTTTTGAACTCTTGACCTTGAGCGATCCGCCCGCCTTGCCCTCCCAGAGTGCTAGGATTACAGGTGTGAGCCACTGCGCCCGGCCTTGATTTGGTTTGATTTGATTTTTGTAATTTCAGGCAACCGGGGGATTGGGCACCTGCTCTGCAAAGACGAGCTGCTGAGAGCCTCTCTGTCCCTGTCCCACGCCCGCTCAGTGCTCATCACCACCGGGTTCCCCACCCATTTCAATCACGAGCCTCCGGAAGAGACGGACGGCCCACCAGGAGCCATCGCGCTGGCCGCCTTCCTGCAGGCCCTGGAGAAGGAGGTCTCCATGACGGTTGACCAGAGGGCCGTGAACTTGCACCGGAAGCTTGTTGAAGATGCTGTTGAGCAAGGTGAGCAGTGAGGCGGGCTTGGTCCATTTCCCCAAGCAGGCCTTTGTGGACAGAGGCTGGAGGGATCCGTGTTTGCAGTACTTCTGCCGGGCACCCAGCACGGGGCTATGCGCTCGGCACGGAGCGTCATCCTTTGAGCTCACAACAACTCTTTGTCATGAACCATTTATCCCTGTGCTATAGATGAAGAGACTGAGGTTCCAAGGGGCCCAGGTGATTCGCCCAGGTGAGAATGGTGAGCAGGCTCCAAAGGACATGATCCTTCCAATGCACCTGCTGCTCTCCCTGTGCAATGAGGGGGTGGGGAGCGACCTGCCAAGTTCTCTTAACAACCCAGGGCAGCCCTGCGCCACCACCACCAGAGCGGGGGGATGGGGAGGTGGAGTATAGCGTGGTTGAATTCTCAGACAGCCGTGTCCCACCTGGTCCTTCCACATGGGCAGGGATGCACCTGCACCACCCAGGCGGGCATTAGAGCTGTGGGTACTAAAGACACAAGGCTGTGATACACCATCAGTGTGATGAGATCGGCCCTGGGCTCAGTGTGAACAACTGCTCCTCACCTTGCCTCCGTCCTGCAGAAAGTGTTACTCAGGCATGAGCTGGAAGCCTGGTGAATCTCACCGGCTTCCCACCTCCGATCTCTCTGTGTCCCTCAAGATGCATTCCTCAGAGAAGAATTGTTTTCCTTTTAGCATTTAAAAAGGGCTTTAACCTCAGGAAGGAATACCATAAAGCACCCATTATGTGGGCAGCTTCAACAAGTCTGTACTGGCACATACAGAATGCATTTTATCCACAAATCTGTATTGAGCACCTACTATGTGCCAGGCACTATTTTAGGCTCTTGAGATCCATGTATGAACAAAATTAACAGCAAGCCTGCCCTCACACGGCATATCTTCTAGTGGAGTGTGGCCGACAGTAAACACGAGAAACAGGTGCATGGCACGTTAGAAGGAGATGCTGCTGCGGGAAAAGCTGGACCAGGCTCAGGGGATTGGAGATGGGGCGGGGGAGGGGCTGCCATTTTAAACAGGGTGGGCAGGGGGACCTCATTGAGGAGGTGACATTTGAGCCCAGACTTCAAGTTGATGAGGGAGTGAGGCCTGGAATGGCTGAGTGAAGAACGTCCCAGGCTGTGGGCTGTGGCAACGGCCAAGGTCGCTGGGTTGCTGTAGAGATGGGGTAGAAGCAGGAGACCGGTCAGGTTATCGAAGGTGGGAGGTGAGAGTCGTGCCACGTGGCACATCCCTTCAGCCCCCGTCGATGTCAGCCGTAGCTGGAGTGGAGTTCTGAGTCACGCCGACCTGACTGGGCCCCACCACAGGCCAGGGCCCTGCGGGGCCTCTCCAAAGCTGGGCGAATCCACTCCACGGCGTGGGGCCAATGGCTTCGGGCACCCTGGGGGACAGGGGCCGCAGGGTAAGTGTCCTGCCTCCTGTCAAGACGCATAGGTCGGCCTGGCATGGTGGCTCAGGCCTGTAATCCTAGCGCTCTGGGAGGCCGAGGTGGGAAGATCACTCAAGGTCAAGAGTTGGAAACCAGCCTGAGCAAGAGCGAGACCCCATCTCTACTATACATAGAAAGAAATTAACTGGCCAACTACAAATATATAGAGAAAATTAGCTGGGCATGGTGGCGCATGCCTGTAGTCCCAGCTACTTGGGAGGCTGAGGCAGGAGGATCGCTTGAGCCCAGGAGTTTGAGGTTGCTGTGAGCTAGGCTGACGCCACGGCACTCACTCTAGCCTGGGCAACAAAGCAAGACTCTGTCGCAAAAAAAAAAAAAAAAAGACACACAGGTCCCCGTGAACTGAGACCCCACTCCCTAGAGCAGTGGCCTTGAAAATGCACATTCCCTCCTCTTGTCTGGCCCTCCCTCCAGCCTCGCTGTCCCTGTTCCCTCCCTCCTGCTTCCTGTAGCCATCTCTCAGGACACTGCCTGCGCCAAGTCTCAGGGTAACCCAAACAGATGAAGCCGCAGGTGCAGGTGGGGTGGCTGGAAGGCGCGATGCTGCGGGTGTGCTGCGGGCGGAGTCGGCAAGGTTTCCAGAGGGACTGGATGTGGCTGTGACAGAGGGATCGGGACTTGCTCGAAGGCTTCTGGCCCGGGGAACGGGGAGGACAAGCTGCAGTGGACCGAGGTGGGGCCCTGGGGAGGGCAGTTTGAGGACGACTCAAGAGTCCAAGTTTGCCGCTCGTGCACTGTTGGTGGAGTTGTGAAACGGAGCAGATGCCTCATAAAACAGCACGGCAGCCGCTCAAGAAATCAAAGATGGAAACCACCATATGATCCAGCAATTCCGCTTCTGGATGCACACCCCCAAAACTGAAAGCAGAACCTCAATAGATGTTTTGTCCACTCGTGCTCATAGCAGCATTGTTCGAAAGTGCCAAGAGCTGAAAGCAAACCAAAGGCCCCTCGATAGATGAATGGATAAGTAAAATGTAGTGTGTACATACAAGGGGATATTATTCAGCAGGGAATTCTGACGCGTGCTACAACATGGAAGAACCGTGAGGACATTAGGCTAAGTGAACTAAGCCAGTCGTGAGTCTACTTATCCGAGGTCCCTACACTAGTCAAATGCATAGGAACAGAAAGCAGGATGGTGGTTGCCAGAGGAGGGGGGGAGGGGACCATGGGGGCTGTTGTTTTATGAGTACAGAGGTTCCATTTGGTAAGACGGAAAATGTTTTGTAGAGGGATGGTGGGGATGGTTGCATGACAATGTACTTAGTGCCACTGAACTGCACACATAAAAATGGCTAAAATGATAAATGCTATGTTATGTGTATTTTGCTGCACACACACACATGCACACGCACACACAAGCCAGAGTACAGGTTTGAGCCTAGTAAGTGCCTGTAGACACCCAGGTGGAGGAGTCACGCGGGCAGTGAGTTGCTTGGAGTGAGTTCGGGAGGGCAGTCTGGCCAGGAAGATGGATGGGAGGGCTGTTGGCAGATTGACGGAGCCAGGATGCGGGATGAGATCACTGCGGGAATAAGCGGTGACAGCAAAGGACCTAGGATTGCGTCCCGGAGCTCCCCACGATAAGAGGACCAGGAGGAGGGGTGCAGCCAGCAAGGGAGGTGAGAAGGAGCAGTGGCGAGAGGAACAGCCAGAGACCGAGTCATCATGGTGCAGAGAAAGTCGCCAAGGAGGAAGAGACAGCCAACTGTCAAACGCTGCTCCCCGGCCAAAATCTCATTTCCGTCCATCTTTGGTGGATGCTTTTAGCCGCCCGATTCCAGAAGTAGCTTTGCCCTCTCTGCTCGCCTGGCAGCTGGGCTCGGAGGCCCCACCGGCCTCCACTCGGAACTGGGGCTCGCCCACGCGGGCTCTGAGCCTGGGATTTGCTATCTTGGATTTTGCAGAACTTTTGTAACATTTGGACAAAGAATGTAAAAGCAATTCGGCCTTTCGATGAAAATTATTTCAGTCTTTTCTATAACAGAAGCCCAGGAAAGGTTTTAAAGAAGAAAAGACAGAGCCATTTCTTCCCTGTCTTGAGCATAAACCGACCAAAGATCTTTCTCTGTAGCTCAGAAGCGAGAATGTCATCTTGCTCTGACCCTCCTTTTCCGAGGTTCTTGCGTGTCCTTTCTCACGCCTGCCTCCTGCTTTGGGATACGTCACGTTCCCTGGCCTGGTGGGCTCCCTGGTGCCCTTCTCACTAGTGTCCTAGTTCCTCGATCCAATTTGGAGGCAGCGAGAGAGTCAGCCTCCACTTAGCAGCTCCTCCGTGCGGGCGCCCGGCCAGGGACCCGGCCCGCGTCAGGTCATTGTGCCCTCGAGGCAGTCCGGGGAGGTGGACATCGCTAATGTCCACTTTGCAGAGAGATAACTGAAGCCCGGAGGGTTTGCTCGGCTCGCCCAAGGTCTCATAGCGAGCAAGTGGCGTGACGTTCCCACCCAGCGTTGTCTGGCTAAGTGGAGCCCCCGTTCCTGGGCCACCTGGCTGCCCTGTGCAGCACGGGGAGGGGCTGGGTCTTTCCCCTTGTCATGACTGCCCCCCCCCATGATTCCCTCCCTTGTGGCTTTGCATGTAGGATGTGCTCGGTGAGCATCCCTTCAGGGACCGGTTACGTCTCCTGGCCTCTCCCCCTTACACGTGGGGTGGGGCTGGGGAGAGAAGGGAGGGAGCACTTGAGGGCACTTTAGGATCCCTGACAGTGAGTCCTGTTCCTCACCTCAGCTCGTCCCTGTCCACCCACTGGGGAGCAGCGACAGCTCCCAAAGGGCTCAGGGGCGGCAACATGGTGGAGAAGCTGGGGGGGGGCAGCTGTCTGGCAGCTGCATTCACAGGCAGACGCGTGGCTTAACACAGACGCTGTGGCTGTGCTCACCCTCGCGTGAAGGGCGCTATGGGATGGCGATGGAGATTGCGGGGGTGGCTGAAGTGCCACCAAGACAACCCCCTGGCACACTCCTGGGCCACAGAGCTGTCTGGGAGCTCCTGCAGGACCATAAGTGACGGGCCCAGGATCACCTGCCCCGGTCTGTCTGCATGGAGAAGCCTTCGCCCTAGGCCAGTGAATACAGCGGGATTCTACCCCAACCTGTGGGGTAGATCGGTTAATGAAATCCAAGTTCATTTTAGCTTATTGTGGGATTTTTGAGTATTTCCCACATATTCTATAATAATATGTATTATTTTGACAATTAGGAAAGGTGCCATTTTTAAGAGTCAAGTTTATGTTCAAAATCTCTGACACAGGTAGCTAACCCAAGGCCCAGACTCTGGGAATTTCCCTTGGTTGTTCTTGAACTTCCCCGAAAGTGTGTAGGGAGGTGGGGAATGGGGCTGACACATGGGTGGCCTTGCCCAGATTGTTTGGTATCTCCGAGCCTCAGTTTCCCCGCTCTGTAAAATGTGGGTGATAATGGTTTTTATCACACAGAAGTGTTGTGAAGATTAAATGAGAATGCACGGGCCAACTGCTTAGCAGAGGGCTGGCACCATGACACGAGGCAGTGCATGGTGGCCATGGGCCGGGACGGGCTGCTACATCTGCTACATGTGTGTTATCCACACTTCACATGCAACATGTTTGCTAGCCTGATCCTGCCCCAATCCCTGCCAACCCTGCATTTACTCAGTACCAAAAGGAAACATAAGTAGCCTCTGTGTCAGGGCCACAGCTAATAAAATGTCCTGTGGATGGAACTCATTCAACAGCAGGAGTGATACTCTCCAAAGAACCTTCGGAAAAGCCGACACGAATTCCCAAAATGCAACACAGAGCTGATGCGTCCACTCTTTGTCTTTATGTCCAAGGTGTTCTGAAGGCAGAGATCCCAATACTAACTTACCAAGGTGGATCAGTGGAAGCTGCCCAGGCATTTCTGTGCAAAGACGGGAACCCCAAGTCACCTAGGTATGTATGTCCCGTCCCAGTGTAAGTGGGTGACGGTGGGAAAGCGCAGGGACTCTTAACTCTACCAAGGAAGCTCTGCACAGCCCAGCCCTGCAGAGAGATTAGAGCCATGAACCAAGGAAGGCAGGGGTCTGACGGACCCGACTAACCCATGATGCTGGGCTGGGGGCTTTCAAAGCACACCGGGGAATTCACAGAGCATCTCTGGAAGCAGTGGGTCCCTGGTCAGCAGGGAGAGATGGCATGTCCTTCCAACAGATGGAAGAGATAGAATTATTTTTAAAATTTAAAAAGGCTAGCAGTATCTTGAACTGTGGGTCATGACCCATTGGAGAGTAGTGAAATCATTTCAGTTGTGGGTAACCAGCACCACTGGAAAATGAAATAGAAATACAGTGTCATCGTCTATCTTGTATAGTAATGGCAAGTATCTCTTAGGAAACCGTGTGTGTGTGTGTTTCTTACTGTGTGTATGGTTAAACATTTTTAAAAAATACTTCTTTGCTGTGCACAGGGATGTGTTTCAGATCTTATACTTGGTAGCACAGTGTTTTGCAAACCTTTTTGACAATAACCCACAGTGACACATTTTCTACTGCAAACCAGTACACACCCACAACTGTAATAGAAGTTTCAAAAAAACCATACTGACTCAGTGCAATATACTCTGATATTTTCTATTCTAGTCTATTTCATTCTAGTCTACTCTGTTCTGTTCTACTTGTCAAAAAAATGCTGATCTGCCCCAATACATTTCATAACTCACTAACGAGTGTCCACTTAGAATTTTAAAATACTGCTGTAATAGGCCTTGAGGGCATAGCTATATGACAGCTCCCAGCAGAATCTGCTGTTCATAATGAGGCCCTTCAGTCACCAAGGGAAAGTTCGACTGTGGATGCGACATGCTATTTAAAGCTGCAAGAACCCATGCGGTGCATATTAGAATGTTTATATTCCTCCAGCGGTTGGCATACAACCATTAGCAGCTCTGGCTCCTGAGGGAGAAAATGGAAATCCTCTTAGGTGGGACCCCCCAATGCCAGGTAATGCAGGTGTTGCTCTGTTTGCTGAGTGCGGCCAAGTGAGCTGGACCTGCTCACTTTGGGAAGAGAGGATTCTGTTCACCTTGGAGCAGGTGAGTTAGCTCTTCCCGGGGAGCAGCCTTCCCAGGCTGATTCTTTCCCACCGTAGCTACATGGAGCCTTCTGGACTAAACATTCGGTAGACCTCCTCAGTGTGTGCAACGGCATCCTCCCTGGGGGAGGTCCAGAAGCAGTGCTCTCCCTCCAGAACGGGGGGCACAGTGCTCTTGACCGTAGCTCTGGATCTAACTGCCTGTTCATCACTGCCGGTGTAGGTCTAGAGGAAATGCAGTGCCAAAGCTGCTTCCTCCTGCTAATTCTGCTTCTCAGCGTCTGCCTTCTCCTGCGCTGGATGGACATGTAGCCCAGGAGTACATGCTAAGACCCGCTCAGTGGGCTACCCATTGGAGGCATACGTGATGCCACCACATTCCAGCACAAAGGATGTGGACGGGCATGTAAATTTTGTTTTTAAAAAACATTTATAGAAGAAGCACTCACAGTTAAGTTTTTCTTATTATGGCAAAATATGCATAACACAAAATTTACCATCTTAACCGTTATTAAGTGTTACAGTTCAGTGGCATTAAGTCCATTCACACTGCGGTGCAACCATCACCACCATCCATCTCCGGAACTCTTTCCATCTTGCAAAACCAAAACTCTGTACCGATTAAACACTAACTCCCCATTTCCTCCTCAGCCCAGCCCCTGGAAACCACCATTCTACTTTCTGCCTCTATGAGTTTGACTACCCCAGGTACCCTCATATACGTGGAGTCATATAGTGTTTGTCCTATCGTGACTGGCTTATTTCATTTAGCACAACCTCATCAAGATTCATCCATGTTGTGGCATGTGTCAGAATTTCATTCTTTTTTAAGGCTGAATAATACTCCCTTGTGTGTATGGAGCACACTACGTTTATCCATTCATCTGTCCCTGGGCACTGGCTCGCTTCCACCTCTTAGCTATCACGAATGATGCTGCTGTGAGCATGGGTGGACGGATACCTCCTGGAGTCTTTCACTACTTTTGCACATGTACCTAGAGGTGGAATAGGTGGATCGAATTGTTTGAGGAATGGCCATGCTGTTTTCCATAGCAGAGTTTAGATTTTGTAGAACTCCGTCATGGGGGTATTGAGAAACATGTAAAAGTGCAATTTTCATTTTCTCAAATTGGATTATCAAAACGATATTCCTGCTAAATCATAATAGCAATGGCAGCCACAACAGCTAACACTCGCTGAGCGCCAAGTAGGTGCGGGTTCTAGGACACGCAGCTCCTGTGCGGTTTCTCATTTAACCCTTTCGGCACTGTGCGAGGTGGGTGCTGCTGTACGTCCCCTTACAGGTGCAGAAAATGAAGGTTAGAAAGGTTGAGCGACTTGCCCAAGGCCAGTGGCAGGAGGCCCTGGAATTGGAACCCACGTTCTGAGCACCATGTCGACTGGGCCCTTACTCCTCCGTTTCTGTGTAAGTTTATTTTGTGTTAGATTCATTCATTTTCTGTTTCCATTCCTTTTCCATCTGTTTCATGTCTATAAACCAAACAAGATCCTGGAAGGGCCCAGTGGTGCACCCAGGGCAGCGACGCTCATGGGAGGTGGCTGCTCCGCTGGACAGAGGGGATCTGGGTGGCCGCCAGCAGCGTCCCCGTCCTCCACAGCAGCCCTGAGCGCCGGCCTCCCTGCCCACAGCCTCTGACTCTCGTACAGAAATTACTAAGGACCCGATGCTCTTTCTTAAAATGATCTGATAGACAGGCGCTGGCGCAGCGTAGGTGTTCGGTCAAGTTCTGTAGGAGAGAAGGAATCGAAGAAAAAACAACATGCGTGGCCTTCACACAAACACACGGGGACATGACCTAACACGTACTCCCCGTAAGGACCCTACCGTGCTTGCTTCCTGGCAGGTTCGACCACCTGGTGGCCATCGAGCGTGCGGGCAGAGCTGCCGACGGCGGCTACTACAACGCCAGGAAGGTGAACATCCAGCACTTAGTGGACCCCATCGACGATCTTTTTCTTGCCGCAAAGAAGATTCCTGGAATCTCGTCAACGGGTAAGTAAGGAGGGCGGGAACACTGAGCACGACCAAGAACGTGTCACTGCCAAGTGCCTTTTTATTGACTGTTGAACACGTGACCAGGAAGGGTGACACGGGGAGGGACCGAGGTTTTCCACCCCAAAGAAAATCCCTGTTTATTATGGTCAGTATAGACACGAATGTCGCCACCATTTGGAAATCTAACATTCCCACGAGCAAGGAAGGGAAATGACACTTAATCGAGCACGTTCTATTTGCCTGACTCTACAGTATTAATAATAAAACTAATAATATCAATGGTAAAATTAAGGCACACATGTTATTTTGGTCACATAGGATGCAATGGACCATGTATACTGTGTGTCGTTTTATGAAGCATGTTAATTTTTAAATCTATCAAATATATGATTAGTGTAGTATTTCAATTGTTAATAACATAACAATGTGATAATTTGCGTTTGTAAGGAACTTTATAATTTTCCAAGAGGTTTCACATTCATTGTATTATATAAGCCCCTTTAAAACTGCAGGGGGGAGGTGGGGAAGGCAGCAGACAGTCCAACACTGAGGCCTGGGAGGTTTTCTGGGGTGCTCATTAGCTCATTGGCAACACTGGTGGCTTTAGGAGGACATTGCAGACTCCTGCAGCCTGTTATCATGGAATTTCGCCCTTATGGATTTCTGAAAGGCTTAGTGGAACCCCCAGGGAGAACCAACTTTCCTCCCCCTGGGGACAGGTCTCAGCCGGGGGTAATTAGGGCCCGTCTGGCATCTGTGTCTATTTGTTCTCTCCAGTCGAACACTTCAGTTGTTTCCCAGACTCATTAGTCCTCTTGGCTTTTGAGGTTTTGAGGAGACAATGAAAGCCTTCTCAGCTGCTTAGAAAATTTCTGCAAACCGCCCTGGCCTTTCCCAGAAGGGGCGGTGGGTGTGGCCACACTGTGCCTTCCAGCTTCCTGTCACTCCTGCTGGCCAGGCGGGGATGGAGGCTTGTTGGGGGCAGTTCCCAGGGTGGAGAAGGAAGCCGTCTCCCTGCCTAAAGGGGCAAACAGGACCTGAAGCAGCTGCTGGAGCAAGCCCACCCCCACCCCAAATGGGGCCCCCATCTGTGTGGTGACGCCCCAGGGACCCCCAGGCACCACCCACCCCAGGGACGCACCAGCTCTGCACCGTGAGGACGACACCATGGACAGGATGGATGTGAGGCACAAATAAGATGAAATTCTTAAAATGCTAAAAAAAAAAAAAAAAAAAAAGACAGATATAGACAAAATACCAATCAATGTAAGGCAGTGGCATTCTTCTCCTTCATTCAATGGCCTGTCAATAGATCTAGAAAACTGTTCTGGAAAAATCATCAGGTGTGAATCTAAGGTGTTTGGTCATTCACAGTTGTCTGATTCTTTTGGCCAAATCCAGTCCCTGATACTTAGGGGGGTCAGTTCTATTTCCCCCTTCACCATCCCACGATGAGCGCCAGCCTCTGAGGTCACCCTCCACAGAGCCCAAGCCTTGATAGAGGCAGACACAAAAGCAGTGACACCCCTGCCTGCAGGCTTGGGAGGTCCAGCCCTCTGCCCTTGAGGGACTCAGACACACGTGTTGCATTGAAGGTTATTGAGACGGCTGCAGGCATCTTCTAGGTGTAGATTCAGTTGACCTTCTACTCTACAGAATCCTCCAGAAATACCTGGACACAGGACCAAACAGTGTCCCTTAGACCTCAAGCATCTTTTCAAAGTACGTAGACTACAGAGCTTGTTAGATTTTTTAAAAAATCTTATTCCTGCAAGAGTAGAGGTACTCGTTAATTATTTTTAGCCGATCCACCTCTCTTGAACACCATTCATTTCACCAGCAAATGAAATTATTTCTAACATGTATTATTCCAGCACTCAGTTATTATGCTAATTAACAAATCCTCTGGGCCGGGCGTGGTGGCTGATGCCTGTAATCCTAGCACTTTGGGAGGCCGAGGCCGGAGGATCGCTGAAGGTCAGGAGTTTGAAACTAGCCTGAGCAAGAGTGAGACCCTGTCTCTACTAAAAATAGAAAGAAATTAATTGACCAACTAAAAATATATAGAAAAAATTAGCTGGGCATGGTGGTGCGTGCCTGTAGTCCCAGCTACTCGGGAGGCTGAGGCAGGAGGACCACTTGAGCCCAGGAGACTGAGGTTGCTGTGAGCTAGGCTGACACCACGGCACTCTAGCCCGGGCAACAAAGTGAGATTCTGTCACAAAACAAAAAACAAATCTTCTGGAGCTAATTATCAGTTGGGCCTGTAGACTAGGGTCTCTTTCAAAGGCTAACCCTGCGGTCCCCAACCCCAGGGCCACAGACTGGTACCAGTCCCATTAGGAACTGAGCCGCACAGCAGGAGGTGAGCAGCAGGTGAGCAGCAGGTGAGCAGCCGCTCCCCATCACTCACATCACCGCCTGAGCCCCGCCTCCTGTCACATCAGTGGCGGCGTTAGATTCTCATAAGAGCCCGACCCCTACGGCAAGCTGCGCATGTGCGGGATCTAGGTTGCCCTCTCCTAATAAGAATCTAATGGCCCCCTGTCCATGGGAAAATTGTCTTCCATGAAACCGGTCCCTGCTGCCCAAAAGGGCGGGGCCTGCCATGGTAAGCCCCCACGGCTGGGAGTGTGTGTTCCTGATCGGGGTGTTTCACGTGTCAGCCAGGCATCCCCTCTGGTGTAGACTGAAATTCCCTAACACGCATATGCTTCACACTCTTTAATCAGAAGCCTTTAAAGTAAATCCAGGGCTGGCTTTGACTATCTGCCCCAGTTCCCCTCTGCCAGTGGACTGTCGCCCAGCCACTCTAACAGGGCTCGGCGCGGGAGCCACCTGAAGGGAGGGCCTGAGCGCCACCCACCCGCAACGCCGAGGGCCTGGCACCAGCAGCGCGGAGCACGCTCGTCTGTGACCGAGGCCGCGCTCAGAGGGAGACGTGCTCACACGCTGGCGAGTCTCAGACTCTGACTTATCTTAACTAGAGAAGTTTCCACCAGGCCTGAAGGGAAAGTACGACGTCTCCTGAAAATATCTCGAGCGCCGACCTCTGTCCCCTCCCAGAGGCTGCCTGCCCCTCAGCCGCCCCGTTTCGCCCTGACCCCGTGCGCTGACGCCATCCCCCTGCCCTACAGGAGTCGGTGATGGCGGCAACGAGCTGGGGATGGGCAAAGTCAAGGCGGCTGTGAAGAGGCACATACGGAATGGGGACGTCATTGCCTGTGACGTGGAGGCTGACTGTGCTGTCGTTGCTGGTGAGTACTCGGATGGCCGCCCCGTCAGGCCCGGCTGCCTGGGACGGGGCCTGGCTTGGGGCCTGACCACGTCTTCTTTGAGAGTGGTCTGGAGGGCACCAGGGCAGGGAGGGGGTGGGGATGTGGAACAGAAGCAACATTTGAAGCAATAATGACTGAGAATTTCCCAAAAATTAATGTCAGACACAAAACTGAGAAGCTCAGAGAGCACTAAGCAGGATAAATGCCAAAAAGGCTATACCTTTTGTAGTTCGGCATAACATATTCAAACTTCAGAAAATCAAAGATAAAGGAAAAAGTCTGAAGGGAGCCAGAAGGAAAAAACCACCTTACCTATGGAGCAACACAAGTAAAAATTACATTCATGGCCAGGCGCGGTAGCTCACGCCTGTAATCCTAGCACTCTGGGAGGCCGAGGCAGGCAGATTGCTCGAGGTCAGGAGTTTAAAACCAACCTGAGCAAGAGCGAGACCCCGTCTCTACTATAAATAGAAAGAAATTAATTGGCCAACTAATATATATAGAAAAAATTAACCGGGCATGGTGGCACATGCCTGTAGTCCCAGCTACTTGGGAGGCTGAGGCAGGAGGATCACTTGAGCCCAGGAGTTTGAGGTTGCTGTGAGCTAGGCTGATGCCATGGCACTCACTCTAGCCTGGGCAACAAAGGGAGACTCTGTCTCAAAAAAAAGAAAAATTACATTCGTTCAACTTCTCTTTAAAAACAATATAAGCAAGAAGAGAGGAGACTGAAATATTTAAAGTGTCGAGAAGTAAAAACCACCCTAGAATTCTGTGTCCTTCGAAATTCCTTCAAAAATGAAGAAGACTTCCTCACACAAACAAAAATTGAGAGAATTCATTGCTTACAGATCTGCCTCACAATAAATGTTAAGGGTTCTTCAGAGAGAAGGAAAATAGATAGGCCAGAAACACAAATCTATATAAAGAAGAATATCAGTGAATAAAATAAATGAAGGTAAAATAAAAACTTTTATATTTCTTATTCTTGATCTAACAGATAACATTTTGTTCAAAATAATAGTAGCAACAGTGTATTTCATTATATATGCTATGTGTATATATGAGGGTTGTCTAGAAAGTATCCAGCCATTGTTAAAATAACAAGAATGGTTACATGGTTGGATACTTTCTGGACAGCCCTTTTGTATATGCTTATGAATATTTATGTATATGTGAAATGAATGACAGCAATTATACGAGGGATGGGAAGGCGAAATTAGGAATATTGTGTTATTATAAGGTGCTGTGCTACCCATGAAGTGGTATAGTGTTATTTGAAAGTAGACCTGGATTTGTTGTAAATGTATATTGTAAACTCTAGGGCATTCTCTAAAAAAAATTTTTAAGTACAATTGATATGCTAACAAAGGAGAGAAAATAGAATCCATATAAAATAGTCAATTAAGACCACAAAAGGCAGAAAAGTTGTGGAAGACAACAATGGAACAAAGAACAAACACAAATATAAAACAGTAACAAATATGGTAGATATTAATCCAGCTATATCAATAATCACCTTAAATGTCAATGGTCTAAATACACCAATCAAAAGGCAGAGATTGTCAGAGTGGATCAAAAAACAAGACTGAACTATACATTGTCTACAAGAAATCTGCTTTAGTGGTCTTTATATTTGGACATGTTAACAGTAAAGAGACGGAGAAAGATATACCATGTTAACATTAATCAAAAGAAAGCAAAAGTAGCTATTTTAATTTCAGACAGAACAGACTTCAGAACAAGGAAAGCTATGAGGGATAAAGATGGGTGTTATATAATGATAAGGGGTCAACATTCAAAGAAAACATAACAATTCTTAATGTGTGTGTACCTAACAAGAGACTGTCAAAATACATTAGGTAAAAACTGATATAATTGCAAGGAAAAATAAGCAAATCCACTATTACAGTTGGAAACTTTAACATTCCTGTATCAAAAATGGACAAATCCAGAAATGGACAAAATATCAGCAAAGACATAGTTGAATTCAACAATACCATCAATCAACTATATATAATAGACATCCATAGATTACCCCACTCAACAACGGCAAATTGCACATTCTTCTCAAGTTCATATGGAACATTTACGGAGAGAGACTGCATTCTGGTCCATAAGAAACACTTTAACAGATTTAAAAGAGTAGAAATCATACCATGTCTGTTCTCAGACCACAGTGGTATTAGAAATCAGTAATAGAAAGATAGCTGGAAAAAAAATCCCCAAATAATTAGAGATTAAACAACACACTTCTAAATAACACATGGGTCAAAGAACCAATCTCAAGAGAAATTTTAAAATATATATATATATATATATATATATATTTTGAGATAGAGTCTCAGTTTGTTGCCCAGGCTAGAGTGAGTGCTGTGGTGTCAGCCTAGCTCACAGCAACCTCAAACTCCTGGGCTCAAGCAATCCTGCTGCCTCAGCCTCCTGAGTAGCTGGGACTACAGGCATGCGCCACCATGCCCAGCTGATTTTTTCTATACATATTAGTTGGCCAATTAATTTCTTTCTATGTATAGTAGAGACGGGATCTCGCTCTTGCTCAGGCTGATTTCAAACTCCTGACCTTGAGCAATCCGCCTGCCTCAGCCTCCCAGAGTGCTGGGATTACAGGCATGAGCCACCACGCCCGACCTAAAATATTTTAAACGAAATGAAAATACAACTTAGAAAAATTTGTGGGATGTCATGAAAGCAGAGCTTAGAAGGAAATTTATTGCATTGAACACATATATGTAGTATAAGAGCCATATCATGACTATAAGATTAATGGTAGCTATAAGGCCCACTCAAACATCTCTGAGTGTCTACTTTTTTAATTGAAAAGATGATATAGCAGCAATACTATAGACATTATTAAAAGGCAGGTAGTGAAGGGTGATGGACAGGGGCAGAAATACCATCATCCCCGCTTAATACCGTGGGCATTTTTAGTTTTGCATGTCAGCTTCATCCTCAATACATACCAATTTTATATCATTTCTACTCAGTAAACATGCATTTTAACATGCTGTTCCTTACTATTACTTCCACACATGATTTTATTTTCCACACATTGCACATTTGCATGGAGGTTGAATGTAGGCACTGGAGCTGTACCACAATGTGAGTGCACTTAGCACTACGGAACTGTACACTTAAAAATGGTTAAGATGGTAAATTCTGTTGTGTTTTTTGCCACAATTAAAAAAATGTTTTTAGAGAGCCAAAGTCTTGCTATGTTGCTCAGGCTGGTCTTGAACTCCTGGGCTCAAGTGATCCTTCTGCCTCAGCCTCCCAAGTAGCTGGGATTACAGATGTGCACCACTGCACCAAGCTGTATTAATTTTTTTTTTTAAGAGTACGAGCTCTATAGGCAGCAGCCTTGTGGTAGACGTCTCAGGTCTACCACTTACTAGCTGTGTGACCTCAGGCAAGTTACTTAACCCCTCTGTGTCTGTCTCCCGGTTTTCAAATGGAGATAATAATAATACTTAACACCTCACAGGCTTGTTATAAGGATGTCAGGAGCTAGTCCATGTAAAGCATTTACATTAACACCACACATTGTAAGTATTCAATGAAAGGTGGTACTCTACCCATGGAATATCAGATGCTGTTGATGATAAAAATTACCATTAATTTATATACCACTAAGTAAGGAAAACACAGCCAATTATAACTGTAAGATACTATTAATTGTAAGACATATCTCGATATCAGAGATGTAAATGTAACAAAAATACATCTTAAAATCAATGAAATATGGTATTAATATTATTATCATATGGTCTTCACTCACCATATTTTAATATGTGCTTTGTATTTTCAAGCTATATGTCTTTGTTGGTTTTTTTTTTTATCAGAATTTTCCCCACTCCTCTACCCCTTCTCTGGCAAAATCCTACCCAGCCTACAGGCCCCTATTAAATGACTCCTTTTCTGTGGATCTTTCTTAAACCAGTCAGAATATTGACCCCTCTCAGCCTGAGAAACACAGTGAGACTCCATCTCTACAAAAAATTTTAAAAATTAGCCAGGCATGGTTGCACGCACCTGTAATCCCAGCTACTCGGGAGGCTGAGGTGGGAGGATCGCTTGAGGTCAGGAGTTCAAGACCAGCCTGAGCAAGAGTCAGACCCCGTCTCTACTAAAAATAGAAAAAGTAGCGCTAGAGCCCAGAAGGCCCTTCATCAATTCTTCTTCACCTGAATGGAGAACTCAAGCAGGTTTCAGGGGGCTCCAGAACCGGGGTGAAGCCCTGTGGGCCAGGCTGGTAGAAGAGGAGGGAAGCCTGAGGCGGACTTAGGAGCGACCTTCAAGCACATGAAAAGGTGACACAGCGCAGCCCTCTGGGGACAGGCTTCCATGCAGAGTGAGGGAGGCAGGTCTTTAGCCAAGAAAAAGACTTCTCAATGTGGAGAGTCTGGAAGGGGTTTCTCGGTGGCTGTCTGACCCTCCTTCCCTGGTGGTAACTAGCAGTGTGTAACGAAAGCCTAGAGCCATGGTTCTCAGCCTCCAGCTCACAGCAGACGCACCCAGAGTTGGTTAACGCTCAGCCTCGCCCTCCGGTCCTCTCCTGCTGAGTTGTGGATTCAGCAGGTCTGGGCTCTAGCAAGCTCCTGGGTGATACTGGTGCCACTGGTCTAGGACCCTTCCTGGAGATCGTTCTGGGGCCTGCAGACAGGCTGATGGACGCGTGGCCGTCCCTGTCCTAAGACGGAATCTTTGTGTTGTCAGGTGTCTCCAACTGGGGAGGCTATGCCCTGGCCTGTGCTCTCTACGTCCTGAACTCATGTGAGGTCCACGGACGCTACCTGAGGAAGGCAGTTGGACCCTCCAGAGCACCTGGGGATCAGAGCTGGACTCGGGCCCTCCCATCGGTCACTAAGGTAACGTGCCCCAGCAGGCCACTCACGTGGAAGCAACATTTCCCCTGCATGAGCCGTCAGGCCAGCACCATGCTGCCCTTCAAAAGCCAGAGGCAGAGCCCGCCTTGAAGCCAAGTTCTCCTAGTTGGAGTGGGTGACCTTTGACCTACAGTGACCCTGAATCATGTGGAGGGCCTGAGACGAGGGACCATTTTCCTTGTAGTTTGACTTCAGGCAAGTTGCTTAACCTCTCTGAGCCTCGTTTTCTCCATCTGTAGAATGGGGGCCGTCAGCATTGCTGTTGGACGAACTGAACGCCTGACCCAGGCTGGGCACCTCATGGTGGCAGGAGCCCTGTCGCCCCGCTCCAGGCAGTTTACCGCCCGGTGAAGGCACTGAAACCTCGGGGGCGAGACAATTAGCCACCCTCAGGAAGGTGCCACGGGGGCCAGGCAGGGTGGGAAGAGGACTCTGCAGGCTGGAGGCTGGAGGAATAAGCCGGGTGGGGGAGAGCAATCCTGGCGGGAGGGATGGCGGGAACAGAGTCGGGGAGACAGGACAAGCTCAGTGCTGGTCGGGGGAGGCGGCTCTCTGGGAAAGCGCAGGAGGCAGCGGTGTGTTAGAAGCAGAGGAGGGCCGTGAGCCCCGAATCCACAAGGAGGGTCCACAGTCCTCCTGAAGCAGTTTGCAAAATTGTTCCCGTTCGTGCATTTTTTCTGGGCAAGAGTCTGGTTTCATCAGTCTGGGGCCATTAAAAATCCCTGGGAAGAGGCAGATCGCGTTAGCCGGGTCCGGGAAGACCATGACTTTCTTGCTGAGGATTCTGTTGGAAACTTGAGAGGCGACAGGGAGCCACTTGAGGCCCTTGAACGAGGGCATGGGGGCCGGGCCGCCGGCCTTTGTCCGAACTGCTCCGACTGTGCAGACGCGGCTCCCGGAAGCCTTGTGTGCAGTTCTAGGCACACGCGTCGCCAGGTGCAGAGGCAGGGTGTCCAGCATGCCCGTCTAACTTAGGCACACTCACAGATGCGCGTGGGGCCAGCCCCAGTGCCCCGGCCTCGGTTTCCACAGCCCTCACGCAGCAGGCCCTGCCCCCAACACTGATTCCGGACTAGCCCGGTGCCTCATCAGGTTCTCTCTGAGGGCTGGGGACCTGCCCCGCCCAGTGGGCCAGACCTGCGGGACAGAGATCGCATCTGTCTCGGGGACACAGAGGATGCATCTGTCTCTATCAGGGAATTTTCCAGGGTAATTTGGACCATGGGAAAATGAAGCCAAAGCTCCGACTTAACATCTAAATCCTGGCTCCGATGTGACTTCCCCTGTGAGCAAACAGCAGGGCTCAGGATTGGAGGGCTGGTGTCTAGGGTGGTGGGGAGAAGGGAAGGCCACCTCCCTAGGCTCCTGAGCACGGAGAGAGCCTGAGACGGGTGGGCGGTGGTTCCAAGTCCCCCAGCCACACCCTGGAGCCGCGCAGCCACCGCGGCCGGAGTCCCTCGCTGCCTCTTTTCTGTCCTTCTCTTCTGTTCCCTTTCTCCTTCTGCTGGTCTCTCCCTGTCTGTTTCTCTGTCTCTTTCCCTTTCCTGCCCCGGCCTCTGCTTCTCTCCAGCACCTCCCAGATTAGTGGTGCTGTGCCCATTTTACAGATGACGGAGCCGGTGCTGTGGGGCGTGGGGGCTTGCCAGAGACCACCCCCAAGAGGCAGAGCTGAGCGCCCAGTCCGGGTTTCTCTGACTCCATACTCGGGGCTTTTCCCAACATAGCCGACAAGTTTTCCACTTCCTGGTCTCGCCAGGGTGCCAAGGGGAGGGAGGAGCTCAGGCAGGGAGTGACATTTTGGGAGGGAAACAGTCAGCCCTAGAGGGGCCCAGAGGGCTTTGTACTTCCTGGATCTGCACTGGAAAAAAACATGCAGTGGCTGCCCCACACATGATTCCTGATTCACACGGACACAAAAGAATGAGCTCAGACAAACAAATTCACGCAGCCCGACACGCACCCTCCGGAGACGGAAAATTCTCCTTTTACATTTCGACCCAGTCCTTCATAAATATATTAATAATGCACAGCCCTTATAAAGAAAATAAAAGGGGGTGTTTTTAAAGCAAAAGTACAAACACATGTTTGTGGGGCCCTCCCCGTGGGCCGGGCCCAGGCTTGCTCTGGGAGACAATGAGTCAGACGTGGCCCAGGGTAGGGAACTCAGGGTCCACCGGGAGACAAGGAGAGGACACATGACAAGTAATTTCAGGAGCCAGGATGAAAGTGCGCCCAGCAAGCTGCTGTGGGGGCACAGAGAACAGCAGAGAGCTCAGGGAAGGCTGCCTGGAGGAGGCAGCGCTGAGCTGGGTCTTAGGGGGCGAGTAGGATGTGGACGGCGGGTAAGGAAGGGTGGGAAGGGCTGTCCCAGCAGCAGGACCCTCATAAGCAGAGGGACAGAGACATGAAGCTATGCAGTGTGCAGCAGAATGACTAGAATCGTCCCACTAGAGTTCTGCAAGTCATCCGGTCACTTGCAGGGTGGTACCTGCAAGGTCAGGTATAGGAGGGCTGGGGGGCCAAGGGGCTGGGGAGCCCAGTCTTCTTCAGCTTGGACAGGGGGCCAAGGCACTGCAGTGTGGCAGGGTGACAGAGCTCTGGGCAGGGAGGGGAGCCCCGGGAGGGACTGAAGGCCACCAAGGACGAGACCTGGAGGAGCCCACTCACAGAGTCTGGGCGAGAGACTTCCCCTCAGCCCCGCAGGGCACAGACAGGAGCCGGCCACGCCAGCTCTGCCTCTTGCTGGTCTGGGTCAGGATCGCTTTCTTCTCTGTACTTCTGTGCATTGTGGACATCTCCTCTTTTCCTGTGACCAAGTCTTTTTCAGAAGTGTCCATCCTGCCTTGGGTTAGTGGGGTGGGTTGGTTAGGAAGAGCACAGGCTGGGGCTGGGCTGCCTGGTTCAAGTCCCAGCCCCACCCACCAAGTCTCCCAACCTCAGCTGCCTTGGTGGAGGTGATAATAGACCCACCTTTTGGGTTGCTATGCAGATTAAGTAAGTCCCCTTGTGTAAAGCACTTAGCATGTAGTAAGGGTAGTAAATCTGGCATGTGGTAAGTGTTCAGTAAATGCTAGCCATCATCATCATCTTCATCATCATTCTTGTTACCATGAAAAAGTCCTTTCTCCTCCTTGGTCAGGCTGGGGTGAGTGTCAGGGTGGCCGTGAGCCAGGCTTGGTGGTAGCAGCAGGTGGCCCGTGCTAAGGAGAGCTCAGGTGCTCAGGGCAGATGGAGGGTGAAGGCCGGAGGCAGAGTTTACCCAGCGAGCTTGGGGTGACAGAGCTGGGGCCTCCAGACACCATGTGCTGTCACATGGGACTGTCTGTCTTTCCTGTGTGTGGCCTAGGAGGCCAACTGAGCTGTCTCCCCAGCTGCTGCCCAGCCCACACTGGCCTGCCGCTTCTCCCCTGCCTCTGCCAAGGTGGGGCCGTGCTGGTACCAGGCCATCTCACCCATGAGCAGCAGCAGCCCTGTCACTGCCTGGCCTGTGCCAGAGACTAAAGCCCCCAACTCAGCCGCTAAGCCCCGACATCATCCCGGGGTCTCTTTTTCACCCACCACAATGAGGTCCCAAGCCCTGTCCGCTTTGCGTCACCTGGGCCCTCGCTCCTGTCCCACCCCACTGTCTCAGCCCGGACTGGTGCAGCCACCTCCTGGCCCTCTGCTTCCAGCTGCTCCCCATCACCGTCCTCCCCACCACCACCTCCACCCAGCCTCTTTGCAGATGGTGGGGTCCTTCCGCCATTCCTGGCAATTTGCAGGGGGGCTGCTGTTGGCCCCTGTGGCTCTTCCCAGCTGGGTGCCAGCAGGCTCCTAACCTGTTGACGGATCACGTGCACCCTGAGGACCCCGAGGCCCTCCCTGGTGAGGGAAACCAGCGTGAGGGCTGGAAGTGGCCCCATGGTTGCAGAGCATTGCCCCATAAAGAGAGGATATGACCAGCGGGGAAGAGAAGTGGGAGAATAAAACCCAAACAAAGGGCGGGAAATGCCATTCTGGGTGGGAATCCCCTGGGAAGAGGCTGTTGGACAAAGCCAACGTGGGAAGTGGAAAGCTGTTGGGCCTCCCCCAACTGGAGAACATCCGCCTTGGCCCGCAGGGCAGAACAGAAATGCAGATTCTCAGGCAGGTGTGGGGAGACAGTTCCCAGCTGACATTTGCCAACACTTTCCCCATTATTGTGAAAAGTTTTCAGTGATGCCCCTCAAGGGCCTTCGTGTGGCTCATTCCTACTCTTTCATCACCTTTGAATCTAGTTGCCCCTTGCCATAGCCCAGGCTGCTATAACAAAATACTGTTTACAGGGTAGCTGGAACAACAGAGGTTTAATTCTCACAGATCTAGAGGTGGGAGGTCCAAGGCAGCTTTGATTCCCTGGTGGGGGCTCTCCTCCTGGCTTGCGGATGGCCGCCTCCTTGCCATGTCCTCACAGGGCAGAGAGAGCTCGGGTCCCCCTTCCTCTCCTAATCCCATCATGAGTGCCTCACCCTCATGACCTCATCTCAGCATAATTCCCTCCCAAAGACCCCAATTTCAAATGCCATCAGTTGAGGGTTAGGGCTTTAATATGTGAATTTTGAGGGGACACAAACATTCAGTCCATAACACCCCTCCTCCGGAAAAATCTTCCTTGCGCCATCCCAATAACCTGGGCTGGGAGTCCCTGCTCTGCGCTGGGACCCCATGTACGGTGACTGCCTGACCAGCCATACGGACCGTGAAGCCCCTGGGGCAGGGACCTTGTCATGTTCGCCACTGTATCCCTGAATGAGCAAATGCCTGTGCAGGAAGGTGAGAGTCCCACCCCTACCTGCCCTGATTTCCTGTTCTAGATTCCTTTGGTCCCTTCCTCTCATCTCCTGTCTTTGTGGAAGGTTAAGAGGAGGAAGAAGAAGAGGAGGAGGAGGGGGAGGGGGAAGGTGCATTTGACTTGCCTTATGCCTTCACCTAAGACTCACCTTCCTCCGGGGAACCTGAGCCACCCAGGCAGGGTAGTGGCTTAGACAAGTGGTTCTCTGGGACCTTACTTTTGGAGGGAGAGGGAAGAAGGAGGATCAAACCCTTTTTTTTAAACCAGCCAACTGCACCCAAGGAAGAAAGCTCTGGGCTAAAGGCCAGGAGACCCAGCCCTGTCAATAAATCAGCCTCATCCTTTGAGCAGCCGTGTGCCAAGGACCATGCTAAGTGCATTACTTGCATTATCTCATTTAATCCTCTTAACCCTCTAAAGGAGGCATTATTATTATTAGTTATTATTATCATTAACCTCCCCATTTTACAGATGAGGTCGTTGAGGCACAGAGAAGTTAAAACACCTGCCAGGAAAGACTCACATCAGACCCACCTGATCCCAAACCGCCCTGCCTGCTCGGCCCTGGGCAGCAGCGTCAGGATGGGCTGCGCTTCCCCGCGGCTCTGCTCCCTGCAGATGCTCCCACATCCAGGCTGGCTAGTGTCCAGGAGGTGACAGCAGCAGGATTTGGCACGTGCCCCCCCCCTCCCGCTGGGCTAACGGTGGGGTCTCAGGAGGAGGGGTGGTCTGGCACCGTCAGAGGCCCTGGCGGGGCTGGGCGGGAGAAGTGGCCCACGCTGCGCCCCCAGGAGGAGTGCGTCTCAGGTGTTTGTCAAGAAAGTGCAGGTTTCTGTAAAAGCACGTTATTTAGTGACACGAAGGTAACTGCCAGAAGAGACAGCCCGAACCGCTCAGGGGGTTGCTTCTGGGGAGCGGGTTTGGGCATCAGTGAGCCATTATTTACCGTGAGTCTTCCAGTGGTATTGGTATTTTTAAACAAAACTTTACTTTTTAAAAGGTGAGCATGTCAAAGCAAATGCTCCTTCTCCACTTATAAACGAATGTATTTCTTCCTTTTCCACCCCCTCCACTACTTCTACTTCTGCCCCGTGTTTTTTTTTTTTTTTTCCAGGAGGAAAAAATGCTGCGCATCCTGGTGCGGCACAAGGTCCGGAGCGGAGTCTCGGGCGTCGTGGGCATGGAGGTGGACGGGCTGCCCTTCCACGGCACCCACGCGGAGATGATCCAGAAGCTGGTGGACGTCACCACACTGCGCGGGTGACCGTCCGTGTTCACGCATGCGGAGTCCCCCCACCCCCGTGGCCAAGCCTGCGTCTAGCGGGGAGTCCCCTGAGGGCCCCCTGCTTCTTCCCGCAGGAGTCTTGCGAACAAACACTGGCCGTGGGTGAGCAGTGAACTCCCCAGTGGCCTGGAAAACCGCGTGCCCCTTCCTGGGAGGGGACGGCGCAGATGATGTGGACCAAGGACATTTCTCTGGGGCTGTTTTGCTCCTGTTCCCCAGGTGCTAGAGGCGTTGATTCAATCCTCCTTCGCCCTGGCGGCTTCAGGCCACGCACGTGGTCTGCTCTGAGGATCTCTCAACAGTCGCTCGTGGGACACCAGTGAGCAGTTAACTGCCAGGCAGAGCACAGGACTCAGCGTTACCAAGGCCTTGAAGAACCCCCAGACTACGGCAGCCACCCGCCCACCCCCACCCCCGGTTATCCACAGTTTCAGTTACCCACGGTCAGCTGCAGTCTGAAAATATTAAATGGAAAATTACAGAAGTAAACAACTCCTAAGTTTTAAATTGCCTGCTGTTCTGAGCATTGTGACGAAATCTCGCCCCGTACTGCTTGGTCCTGCCTGGGACATGAATCATCCCTTTGTCCAGGGCGCCCACGCCGTCCGAGCTCCCCGCCCATGAGTCACTTAGCAGCTGCCCAAGTGGTCAGATGGATTGTCCTGGTGTCGCAGTGCGTATGTCCAACTCACTCTTACTGGACTTAACGGCGGCCTCAAAGTGCAAGAGCAGTGACGCAGGCAGTTCAGGTGCGCCCGAGACAAGACGGAAAGCGCTTCCTTCAGGGGAAAGTTATTGACTTGAGGAGAGAGAAAAAATCCTATGCCAAGGTTGCTAAGACCTATGGTGAGAATGGATCTTCTGTGAAATCATGAAGAAGGAAAACACTTTCATGCCAGTTTTGCCGTTGCCCTCAAATTGCAAGAGTTATGGCCACAATGTGTTTGCAAAGATGGGAAAGGCATCTTTTGTGGGGAAAGACACGGACAGAAACATGTTCCAACTGACAGCAAGCAGGTCTGACACTGTCCAAGGTTTCAGGCACCTGCTGGGGGTCTTGGAAGATATCCCCTGCAGGTGAGGGGGACCACTGTAATTAAGAAATGGTAAAATGGGCCAGGCGTGGTGGCTCCTAGCACTCTGGGAGGCCGAGGCGGGAGGATGGCTCAAGGTGAGGAGTTCAAAACCAGCCTGAGCAAGAGCGAGACCGCATCTCTACTAAAAATTGGCCAACTAAAAATATATAGAAAAAAAATTAGCCGGGCATGGTGGCACATGCCTGTAGTCCCAGCTACTCAGGAGGCTGAGGCAGGAGGATCGCTGGAGCCCCCCAGGAGTTTGAGGTTGCTGTGAGCTGGGATGACACCACAGCGGCACTCTAGCCTGGGCAACAGAGTCAGACTCTGTCTCAAAAAAAAAAAGGCCGGGCGGTGGCTCATGCCTGTAATCCTAGCTCTCTGGGAGGCCGAGGCGGGCAGATTGCTCAAGGTCAGGAGTTCGAAACCACCCTGAGCAAGAGCGAGACCCCCCTCTCTACTATAAATAGAAACAAATTAATTGGCCAACTAATATATATAGAAAAAATTAGCCGGGCATGGTGGCGCATGCCTGTAGTCCCAGCTACTCAGGAGGCCGAGGCAGGAGGATCGCTTGAGCCCAGGAGTCTGAGGTTGCTGTGAGCTAGGCTGACGCCACGGCACTCACTCTAGCCTGGGCAACAAAGCGAGACTCTGTCTCAAAAAAAAAAAAAAAAGAAAAGAAAAGAAATGCTAAAAAGAACAAATGTGGAATGTATATTTATGAAGTTTGGGGGTTTTATGGGAGGTTTGCTCACTACCACCACCAAAATATTTATACCTTTGAAGTGTTTTCTTTTTCAGGCAGCATTTTGTTTACTAAGGCAAAAGATCCCCTGAAAAACCTTAAATTCGTTGCCATCGCTTCCCCTCCCCCCCCACTGACACTTCTTCCACCTCCTCCCTCTGCTCCCCCGCACTCGGGCTGGACACTTGGCCCCCTGCGCAGGAGGCAGCCACGCCAAGGGTGGGTCACAGAGCCCTCCCCAGTGACCCCAGCCAGCCTGCCCTTATCTCCTGTGCAACCTTCCTCTGTACACTGCCCGGCAAAATTAGAAACCGAGTCACTGCCCATTGTCCCCGTACAATGTCTTGTGCTGGCACACTGCTGAGTGACTCACCCAGGCAGGGACGGTGTGTCTCCCCAGCTAGGGCGCCAAGTGCTTGTCGGCCTGCCTGTTTCCCTTCATTTCCTTAAACATGTCTAGTTTGCCTCTATGCGGGGCGACAGTCGTGAAGAACGGAACACGTGGTGTAGAAACGAGTTTGGTCTGCAGGGGCCGAGCTTGTGCGGGTGTGCTGGCACTCGTGGTCCGGAGAACTCGATCCTCCATCTGCGGCTTCTCAGGGCCCAGGGAAGCCACCTCAGCTCTGAGCCTCGCCGGCCGGGTCTCCTACAATTGCCGTTTTTGTCCCTCATTTGTGACTGCAGAGTTCCGTGCAGCGGAGGCCTCTGATTACGGTGTACACGAACATTTTTGAGATCTTTGTGGTGAGAAGAGAGAAAAAACTCATGGTGGCAAAGCTGCCAGCATTCTTCTGACTCATATTTTGGGGGAAGACACTAATGGGCCTTTGGTTTTTCAAGAGTAACAGCATGATTCCACTCCGGCATGGAGAAGTCTGAGGCATAACCGTGTAGTAGGTTATCTTCACCGTGGGCGGGAATGTACGGGGAGATGACTGAGTTGTTTGGGAAGGAGGTTTACAACCCGGCTGAGCCCAGAGGAGGCTGAGAATAGGGGTCCTAGACTTGGTGGAGCATCCAAAGGCCCCCTGTAGGGAGAGGCAAGCCTGTGGCCCTGTAGCAGGGACCACGGTGCAAAGGAGGGTCAGGAGAAGGCCCCTCAGCAGGGTCCAGCCCAAGGACATCCTGGAGCTGTGATTCCCAGGATGCAGTTTTGATGTTCATCCATTCTGCAGTACAACTCCAGCTCAGATGCTTAGTAAAGTTTTGCTCAGCTGTGCCCTTTTGTCCTAGCCTTGCCTGTGCTTTGGGGAAAGGTCTATACCCATGTCTAGGGCGGCATGGAGGGCATGGCTGCAGCCTGGAGAGTCTGGTTACATGGGGACATGAGGTGACCTACAGGGAGTGGTGGCGTGGGCCAGGGTGAGAGACAGGCCTGGTGCTGAGCAGAATGGATCTGTGCGGCACAGGCGCGCCCCTGGGCATGGCCAGGAACACTGTGGGGAGGCGATCCCGGTTAGTAGCATACAGGCTGCTCTGTGGATAACCAAGGCAAGCTGGGGACCTTGGGCACAGGGAGGTGGCAGAGGCCATAGAGACCCTGCAAGAAGCAGGACTCAAAGGCAAGTGAGCCAGCTAAGGGGAACAGGGCTCCATAGCCCCCCCAGAGGTCCTCCGGCCAAGTGCTGCCGCACACCCAGCTGGGAAAGGCATTCCTCTGGGATCGCTATTTGCCTCTCATTGAATGGGCCCTGCAAGCACTAGCCCAGCTTCACCCAGCCTGCTGCACTCTGCCCACCACATGTGGCTTCCACTGGCTCCACAGGGAATTCTCACTCTCAGGCCAACAAACCACTGCTCTCTAGGTGGGTTGGAGAGGATGTGGCTCGCCAGCAACTCACACAAACTCCACATATGTGAGCGATGTGATTGATGCGCTTTGCCAGAAGCAAAGAAGCAGAGAGGAAAATGTTCCCCTTCTGTTCGGAGCAGGTCAGACGGACTTAGTCTCACTTCAGATCTGGGCATCACATTTGAAGAAGTGGATTTTATTCATATGAAGGAACAGGAAGGTAAGAGCTTAAAACCTGGTTTGTGGGGGTGGCTCAAAGAGCTGTCTGTCACAGGCTGGCCAGATGCTCACCAACTCTGCCTCCTCTTCCTGCACACATACAAAAACTACCTTTCCAGGCCTCCCTTGCAGCTAGGTTGGGGCCATGCACCTGGGATCTGGCCAATGGAGCGTGAGTAGCAGGGATATCAACCACTTCCAGACTTGGCAAAACCCCCCTGTGAGATTCTCTTTGTACTGCCTCCCTTCCCTGTGCGGATGAAAAGGGAAGACCCCAAGATGAAAGATCCTCTAGATGAAAGGATCCTGAATCACTTCCACTGCTTGGGAAAATGGTTTCAAGAAAGCAGCCTCTCATGGACTTTGCGTGAACAATGGGTAAACTTTTTTTTTTTTTTTTTTTTTTTTTTTTTTTTTTTTTTTTTTTTTTTTTTTGAGACAGAGTCTCACTTTGTTGTCCAGGCTAGAGTGAGTGCCGTGGCGTCAGCCTAGCTCACAGCAACCTCAAACTCCTGGGCTTGAGTGATCCTTCTGCCTCAGCCTCCCGAGTAGCTGGGACTACAGGCATGTGCCACCATGCCCGGCTAATTTTTTTTTTATATATATATCAGTTGGCCAATTAATTTCTTTCTATTTATAGTAGAGACGGGGTCTCGCTCTTGCTCAGGCTGGAACAATGGGTAAACTTTTAAGGCACTTGTGATTTGGGGGGTTTATTTGTTGTTTCGGCATACTCTAGCCTTGCCTAGTATGAGCTTGGAAGGTTCAATGTTGAGAAATAGGATATGAAAGTTATCTTCAAATACCAGTTCCTCAAGGCCATGTGGCTCCTGTGGGTAAAGTGGTTCCACTTTGTCTCCCTGGGGGTTAATATTTTCTGCCCAGCCCTGAAATGACTTATCTTGGGTATTGAGTTAGCTGTCATTGGTGGTGTTTGTAGAAAGACTGTACTATTGTTTTTGAGGGATGTAGATAAATATCTACATGGAGAGGGAGCTGGATAGTATGACCTGTCTGGTACACCCAAGCCCTGATATCTAATGTCTAACCTAAGGATGTTCTTCTGATAGTTGCTGAATTAAAGCAAATGGGATTACGATTTCATCATTTCCACCATTGTGACTCCAGGACTTAGTCCCTTTTCTGCTCTTATAACAGAATGCTATGGACTGGGTAATATATAAAGAGCAGAAGCTTATTTAGCTCACAGTTCTGGAGACTGGGAAGTCCAAGAGCATGGCACCAGCTTCTGGCAAGTGTCATCCTGTGGCAGGAAGCAGAAAGGCAAGCAAGCTTATAAGACAGAGAAGAAGGGGCTGAGCTCTCACAATGACGGACCCTCTTCCATACCATTAATCTACTCATGAAGGCAGAGACCTCATGACTTAATCGCCTCTTAAAGGTTCCATCTCTCAATAGTGTTACAATGGCAATTAAATTTCGACATGAGTTTTGGAGGGGACAATCAAATCACAGCACCATCAAAGACCCCTGTCTTGCCAGTTGAATTTCAAGAATGGAGGCTGCAGGGTCACCCGCTGCAAGAAGCAGGTTTTTCAGAAAAGCACTGGGCTCGGAGGTCAGAGTGTGGCTCTCTTTTGGTGGTACTAGCCAGGGGAAAAGAGCAGATGGGGATGTATTTCATGTTGAAATTTTCTCCCACTCTTATCTGGCCAACCCCAAAACCAGTATGTGTAAACAGGAAGATAAGCCCTCCTCTTACTAAGCAACACTGGTGAAGAAGAAAGGAATTTTAATGGCTTCTGCCACCTTCAGTCCAAACCAGATGGACTTTTTCTTCCACTCATCCTCTCTGGAGAGAAGAGTCTTAATCCGCAATAATGTCCTTACTTAGTGTGTTTGGAAGAAGGATCTACTCTTCCGGAACACTCCAGGCCTCCAGGAGCCTGAGCTAAAGAGAGATTAAGTGACCAGCACCAAATTTACATTTGAATATGATGAGTTAATCCCTAGCAGTAAACAGGGAGTCTGCCACGGTGGAGAAGATGCTCCAGCCTGAAGAGACCGGCCAACACATGTGGGCCTCTCAAAACAAAACCCACCCACCAAGGACAGCCCCCAAGGGACGAGTGCAGCAGGCCCTTCTGCTTTGGGAATCTTCTAGTTTAGTTAGGAGGGGAAGGTCTGACTGAGCCCTCCTTTATTGTGGGGAACAAGCACCCAGCAGGTACCAGGGGTCCTGTGGCCGAGGACAGAGGGAGTGACAGTCTCCAAACCACAGGACTGGGCTCTGTCCTCAAAAGGGAGGTGGCCAAGTGAAGTCCCAGAGTGGACCCGAAACACCGTACAGACGCTTCCTGAATCTCAGGAGGAGTTGAGCAGAAGACCCTCCTTCACTGGGGGACTCCGTCCTCCTTGGCCACTGCTGAGTGATCCAGTGCAAATCCCCCGATTGCTCTGCTCGGGTTTTCTCTGAGAAGGTCCATCCCTGGACCTTCCTTACTCCTCCGGGTGTCTCGAGGGCCCTCTAGACCCCCCGGTGTTGGAAGACTGTGGAGCACTCCCGCTGCGGCTGGTTACTTTGCTTTATTTGCAGACTGAAGTTTGCTACATAAACCCATGGCACAGTCGGCACACACAGACTTGACATAAAAGAGAGGACAATACAAAAACACAGTTCTTGACAGTAAATGGCACTGACCTCAGCTCATCCCAGTCCATGCCGTGGAAACGCCGGTGTCTACAGTCAGAACAGAGGGGATGCGGTACAATGAGGTGGCATGGAGGGTTCAACCAATGCCACTGACCCAGTAAGATCCTGGGCTGGGGCTGAGTGGGCTCTTCCTGGCTGTGTGGCCATTTCTGCCACCTTCAAATCTAGTCACTTTCTCCTCCAGGAAGGGGAAGAGAACCTCCCCAGGGCACGGGAGGCCCTCCACAAGGATCTGGGCAGAGGCTGCCCAGTCAAAGTCAAGTGTAGCCCTGGGACCACAGTGACCATGCCTCCCTGGGGCACATCCAGTCTGGGCTGCCTGCCTCTGGGCACCCCTGATGGACGGGTTAAGAGACACCGGGTAAAGGATCAACCTCTTGGAGGTTGGGAAGAAGAAGGGGAGGGAGATTGAGAAAGGGGTTCTTCCTAGCCCCCTCTGGCAGATTCCAGAAAAGTTCCAACATGCCAACTTCTACTCCCTGCCACTCTCCAGAGACCTTCGAAGGGATGGCACTCAGGGGCACGAAGCTTTGTGCAAAACTGAACAGGAGAAATCCGTGTGTGTGCGCGCGCACGCGTGTGTGCACGTGTCGGGGAGTGGGAGGGACACCTCAACGTGGTCAGGCACAACGTTGCGGGAGAGATGAGCCCCAGGGCAGAACAAAGCCTTGGGGGCCAGCCTTTCAGGACAGAACAAAAGATGGCGGTCAGGACTCTGGGCTACGCATGGCGCAAACACCCAATGTCACTCTCCTGGTGGGTCAGGTGGGACATCGGCAGCGGAGCAGAGACAGAGAACAGAGGCCACCTCTTCTCCTTGTCACGGAGCTATTTAAACCAGAGCAGACTTTACCCCGGGCCTTTGGCAGAGAGCTGCCAGAGCGTGCGCCTGTCATATTTGCTCTGTTGTAGCCGAGCACTCGGGGAGAACACGTGCTCCTCTCCGAGACTGCTAGACACGCCACCGTGGGTGTGGAAGGGGACAAGGCGGAGGGGGTGGGGTACTGCGGTCACAGGGTCCTAGCCCCAGGGTCTTGGCACACAGCTGTCATGGAGACTGTGGCATTTTAACCATGAACACACACACTCTGCCACCCCCGCCCACCCCAGGCTTCCAGATCTGGCCCTTCGGGGAAACAGAAATCTGATTAGGAGGAGTCTGTGTCGGCCACTTGCTCAAAGACACGCTGGCTTCAGGCCCCTGTCCTGACACTTGAGCTTCTGTGCAGACTTTTTAAGGACCACAGACATCTCCCCAGGGAGCCCTGGGGATTGTTTTCCATCAGCCTTCAGGCTGGGGATCTGCTCAGCCTCCTGTGAAACCGTGAAATGGCTGGAGCTAGAGACCTCCTCTGCCTGTCACACCCTCACTGGCCTCACTCCCACTCCCAGCGACCCAGACACCCCCCACCTCCCTTCTCCCCAACCAATCCCCCCTTCCCACCCTGCGTGGGGCTGGGCTCCAGGGTTCATGATGACAGTACAGCTTCATGTGTCATATCATCATGTAACAGTGGTTGGTGCACTTGGACAGGTATCATCTGTGATGATGATGGCCCTGGAAGGCCCTGGCAGGTGGACACCCAGCTGCCCACCTCACCTCCCGATCCTCCACCCCATGACCCTCCACTCCACAGCCCCTCACCAGCTGCTCTTTGAAAACCTCCTGGAAGCCACAGCTCACTCTTCCTCCCCCAGGAGCCCCAGCCTGGCCACATCCAGCCGGCAAGAGGACACGGGTGAGCCCGTAGGGTTTACTCCCCTCCACAGACCAGGGCCATCGTTCCCTCCCGCGAAAAGAGGCACCTGCGCTTGGCAAAGCGGGGGGCAGCTGGCCAGCAAGCTCAGGGCCCCGGACCAGCGGCTGCAGGCTCAGGCCTCCCTGGCCCCAGCGTGGGGGACCCAGGCTAGGCTGAGCCCCCCATGGGGGACCCCCCGCCCGCAGGCGAGCTGGCGTGGAGCTTAGTTAACAGCTCGGGCTCCTCGCCCTGGGCCCCGCTCTTCCCCGAGGCCTCGGGCGTGCCCAGCGGGTAGGCCTCCCGTGGCCGGCCGGTCCTGGAGCAGGTGAGAAAGGCCAGGCAGGCCCCGCGGAGGCGCGCCAGGTCCCTGTGCGTGGTCTCGCTGACGAAGCAGTACAGCACGGGGTCGGCCACGCAGTTGAAGCTGGTGAGCAGCAGCGAGAAGTGGTAGGCGTTGAAGACGCCCTTGGCGAAGTCGCAGCTGGCCTCCCAGAGGCTGCGCACCAGCAGCAGCACGTGGTAGGGCAGGAAGCAGGCCAGGAAGATGACCACGGTGCTGAGCACGAGCCGCTGGATCTGGTCCTTGCGGCTCTTCTGGGTGCCGTGGCTGCGGCGCACGGCCCTCAGGATGCCCTGGTAGGAGGCCAGCAGCAGGCAGATGGGGAAGAGGAAGCCCACCAGGAAGCGGTAGTAGTTCATGCCACGCTGCCATGGCTCTATGGGGTAGTGCTCGAAGCAGACGCGGTGCCGGTTCCCGTCCTCGATGACCTCCTTGTGCATGAGGAAGTAGACGCTGGTCAGCAGCTCCTTGGTCCAGATGACGGCGCTGACCCCCACGGCCGCCTTCAGGGTCCGGAACTGGTGGAAGCGGAAGGGGTGGGCCACGGCCAGGTAGCGGTCGATGGAGATGCAGCAGAGGAAGCCCACGCTGATGTAGATGTTCTCGTAGAGGAGGATGCCGCACACCTGGCAGGACAGGTCCCCGTGCGACCAGTTGTCGTGCTGCAGCACGTACTGCAGCCAGAAGGGGAGCGAGCAGATGTAGAAGAGGTCGGCCACCGTCAGGTTGCACAGGTACACGCCCAGCTCGTTGCGGGCCTTGATCTGCAGGTAGCCAAAGTAGAGGGACAGGCAGTTGGCCGGGAAGCCCACCACCAGCACGGTGACGTAGACCACCGGGGCCAGCGTCTGGTGGATGGTGTGGTCGATGGTGCAGCTCAGCGAGGAGTTGTCCGCAGTGCTGTTCCCCATCTTTGGGCCTAAAGGGGCCTCTGCTCTCATGGGCTGCGGGGCTGGGCCGGTCCCTCCGCCGCCATCCCGTCTGTAGAAGGTGCTTCGAGCGCTACCAAGGGCTGCGCATTACTGGCGGGGGAGGGGCCCTGAAAGCCAAAGGCAGGAGCCTTAGAACAGCAGCGCCACCCACATGGCACCCACCGTGTGCCATCCACATAGCACCCACAGTGTGCCACCCACATAGCACCCACAGTGTGCCACCCACATAGCACCCACCATGTGCCACCCACATAGCACCCACCGTGTGCCACCCACATAGCACCCACCGTGTGCCACCCACATAGCACCCACCGTGTGCCAGGCAAATCCTTACTCATGTAATTTAGAAGGAGAGGTGGCAGCCAACCAACTCCAGCTCAACTAGAATATCTGACGGGTCACTATAGCAGGACCTGGAACGTGACTTGCGTCTCCCCGTCCCCCTTCCCTGGCTGCCCTTATTCACTCTGTCCCTTACTTATTTTCCTGGTCCCTCGGTACTGCAGGTAAGGCCAGGGGTTCTCAGGAGCATGAACCCGTCCTGAGCCCGGCTCCCCAAGGAAGGCCGGGGCAAAGATTGATTCCACAAGCGACAGTGACAGTGACCAGCTGCCCTTGTCCCCAGCATTAAGTGTCACCCACATTCACTCCACTGGAATGGATGAATTAGTCCCTTAACCCTGAGGCCACGGCCTCTCCAGGCAGCTTGAGAGGAGGCCCAACCTCGTCCACACCCTCCTGCGCTCCGGCCAGAAACACAGCCCAGCTTCCCGCAGGCACCGCCGGGCTCCGGGTGCCCCTCAGCGAGCCCCACCTCTCCTCTCCTGCACGGAGCGGGGGAGGCTGTGGACCAGGGCCCGGGTGAGTCTGTGTGAGTCCCCTACCTTGTCTGAGCCTCAGTTTCTTCACCTATAAAATGGAAATAAAAACAGCCCTGCCCTCAGAGGTCAGTATCGGGGCCACGGGGACTGACGGGCGTGAAAGTGCATGGGGGAGGGGGTACAAGGCGGTGACCCTGCCCAAATTATCGAGAGACATTCCTACTGCTGAGAACTTAACAAAGAAGATGCCGGATACACACACAAGTTACACAAGAGAGAATGAAATGATTTATCATAAATCTAGTTTACAAATTAGTATATCAAAACTGAAAAGCCTGAGCTGCTGTATGCATTTAACTCCTCTCTCTCAGATGAAAAACCTCCCTGTATCGAAATCAGTATTTTTCAACCCTTTTGGAGCCTTTTTAGACATTTTTTCCCCCCTAACCACTCCCTCCCCAACCCTGATGAAATTTTAATATCACAGATCTACTGCTTGATCTATCACAGATCTCTGTACTCTGGTCCTTTGGAGGGTGACAAATCACTGTAATATCTAAAAGTCTCTCGCCCCACCCCAGCCAAGAACAAATTTTCACCCCTGTTGGGAGTGCACGGCCGGTGTGGTCGCAAATTCTGAGCAAGTGGGTCCGAATGGGGCCGTTTGTCAGTCTCGGCAGAGCCGCCCTGCCCTGTGCACTCTCTGGACCAGAGTCCAGCTGGGACTCAGGGACCCAGAAGGGAAACCTCTCAGAGTCCTTCACGGAGGCCTCATTAGACCACTAGCCACGGCCCCTCCCCCCACGGCCTTCCCGGTGCCGGTGCCGCCAGAGCCAGGTAAGCAGGCACAGCGAGCTGGGAAGGGGCTTGGAGACATCCGCCCAGCAGTTCCCGTCCTGAGGTTCATGGTGGATAAATTTGAGGAGTTTCCCTGAAATCACACACTCAATCTTGTAAATATATGTGTCTGTGCACTTGTCCTGGGAAAAGGGACCGTAGCTTTCCTGAGTGTCTCTGAAATGGGCAAGAGATGGGTGCGGTGCAAAGCCACACTCCTCTCACCTGGACTCCAGCTTCCTGTAGCTCCCTCCCAAGCACCCCCCGCAGGGACACCCGCACACCAAGCTCTGCCCCGGGTTCTCCACCCCCAGCTCTCCTCTCTGCTCTGTCCCCCACCCATCCTCACCCCCAGCTCTCCTCTCTGCCTCAGCTCTGTCCCCCACCCGTCCCCACCCCCAGCTCTCCGACCGGGCCCTCATCACAGGGCAGAGAAAGCCAACTTTCTACAGTGCCAGCCAGGCCCCTCTCTTCCTTATCACACCTAGAGTAAAATCCAAACTCCTGGCCCCGCCTGCGCGGCCCAAGGTGATCTGGCTCCAGCTCCCCCTGCCCTGCCCTGCCTGCCGCCACCACGCGCGGCCATGCTGGCCAGCTCTCCCTGCCTCAGTCACCCGACCCCGGTCCTGCCTTAGGCCTCTGCGTCAGCTGCCACCTCGTTCTGAAGTTCTTCTCTCTGCCCTCCGCCCCACCCCAACACAGCATCGCTTCTTTTTCTGCCAGATCTCAGCTGACGTGCCGCCTCCTCGGGAGGCCTTCCCTGCCCACCCCGCCTAAGGCAGCCCCCTCCCTGGTCCCCATCCCATCGTCTTATGTGACCGTGCCGCACAGCTCCTATCGCCATCTGATATTTGTCCTGTTTGTTTCTTTGTCTGCTCGCGGACAGTGGGCGTCTGTCTCTACTATAGCGTAAATCCCACCGGGGCATAGGCCTTGTCCACCTGCTCGCGCTGTCTCCCCAGCAGCTTGAACAAGGCCTGAAACACGACAGGCCCTCAGTTCATGCTTTTGTGAATGAAGAGGGAATGGCCCTTCTCATTTTTCAAGGTGAGGACATTGAGGTTGCAAAGGGGAAATGACTTGCCCAAAGCCAGGTTAAGGAGGGATGCGCCAGCATTAAAAACCAGGTCTCCTTGCTGCACACCCCAGCTCCCTGCCACCTGCAGTCCCCGCCTGAGACTCACCTCCCAGTCGTAGCGTCCCAGGAGGTCGCACCTCCCCTGTCCTCTCCAGGGCGCTGGCCTAGAATCTCAGGGATGCTTCTTACTGCTTTTATAGTGGTAAAATATAAGCAACATAAAATTTACCTTTTTAACCATCTGTAAGTGAACAGTTCAGTGGCATTAAGTACATTCACGCTGCTGCAACCATCACCACCATCCATCTCCAGAACTCCTTTCATCTTGCAAAATTAAAACTCTGTACCGGTTAAATAATAACTCCCCACTTCCTAGCAACCACCATTCTGTTGCACTTTCCGTCTTTATGAATCTGACCACTCTAGGTACTTGATATGAATGGAATCGTACAGCATGTGCCCTTTTGTGCCTGGCTTGTTTCATTTAGTATATTGCCTTCAAGATTCCTCCACGTTGTAGCATGTGTCAGAATTTCTTGCCTTTTTAAGGCTGAATAATATTCTATTACATGCACACGCTACAGTGTATGTATCCCTTAGTCAGGGGACATTTGGGTTGTTTCCGCCTTTTGGTTATTGTGAATAACGCTGCAGTGAACATGGAAGTGCAAAGATCTGTTCAAGTTCCCACTTTCAATTCTTTTGGGTAAAACCCAGAATTGGAATTGCTAGATCATATGGTAATTCTATTTTTAATTTTTTGAGGAACCACCATGCCGTTTTCCATGGTGGCTGCGCCATCTCACATTTCCAGCAGTGCACTGCACAGGGAGCTCTCAGTTTTGTCTGTTTGTTGACGGCGAGAGGAAGGGGAGTGGACACAGCTGAGGCCCGTGACCTCCAAACTCCGCGCACAGCCCAGCGCGCCAGACTTCGGCCACTCGCCCTCCTCTTGCCGGCTCTCCCGTCCCTGAATGCCAGGCGCACACAGGTGGGGCCAAATGCTTCACCAGCTTACACGTGAGGAGGTCCCCAACTGTCCCCTCCCCAGGACAGTTCCCGTTTCTGAATTTACTTCAGTTTTTCTGCAATCCACATAAAATCCACTCGCACAAAAGCCCCAGGCCCCACCAAAACAGGGTAAATGAAGCCACCGTGAAAACGCAACCCATCAGGTCTCGGACTTTCATGGCGAGTCACCGGGCCTGAAGTCTGCTGCTTACGGGTGGTGGGTGTACGAGTTGGGGGGTGGGGGTGGGGAGGCCGCGGGTTGGAGCTTCCTCTTCCCTAGGCCGGCAGTAACCGAATTCTGGCAACCAAGGTCGGAAATATTCACGCTTGCAGAGCAAAGAAGAAATATTCACCACGTTTAAAGCACCGCATACAACCATTTTGCAGCAAAAAGAGGGTTTTGGTATTCTAGAACGTGGGTACATCAGAATGCCCCGGAGGATTTGAGACGGATTGCTGACCCCACCTCCAGACCTCATCGGACCTGAGGCGGGGCTTGAGAATTTACATTCAAACAAGCTGCTGGCCCCTGGGCCAGGCTCTGAGCTGCGAGGTGCTAGGGGGGTCTAGAAGATCCAGGGTTCAGCTCCCTAGCACGTGTCCTGCACAAACTTCCAAGGCAGGGGCAGAGGTGGCTGCAAGGGGAACTTCAGACCCAGCAGACACTTGTGGGCAGAACCAGAACACAGCCTTTGGGTGAGCTTCAGACTGATTCTGGCTCTCAAGAGACAGTGGCTGAGGCTCACGCCTGTAATCCTAGCACTCTGGAAAGCCAAGGCGGGAGGATCACTTGAGCTCAGGAGTTCCAGAACAGCCTGAGCAAGAGCAAGACTCCATCTCTACAAAAAACAGAAAAATTAGCCGGGCATGGTGGCATGTGCCTGTAGTCCCAGCTACTCGGGAGGCTGAGGCAGGAGGATCATTTGAGCTCAGGAGTTTGAGGTTGCTGTGAGCTGGGCTGACGCCACGGCACTCTAGCTGGGGCAACAGAGCAAGACTCTGTCTAAAAAAAAAAAGAAAGAAAGGGTCTCTCTCCCACGCACATGGAAAGTTGGGTGCTGCTTTTACTGCGTGTGCACTCGCAGTGGGATGGCATCTCCTACACTCCGATGACTCCCGGACGTCCCCCAGGCTGCAGGCTGACATACGACCCTGCCCCCACCTCACGGGGCATGCTCAGTGAGGCCCACGCCGGGTGGTCATTTTCTTTGCTCTTCTCCCCTCGGAAGGTGTGGCCGCCTGCCCGACCACTCACAGGGGTGGCGGGCCTCCTGGCCCCTCCCTTGGCTTCGTCCTCAGCCGTCGTTAATTACCAAGATCTACGATTTTCAGCTCCTGAGTATTTCCCACGTCCACCTCCTCCTCTTCAGCCTCTCGCCACGCTCTAGACGGGCCTGGTGACGACTTTCTCCCCAGGGTCAGCATGACAGCCTCCCACCGGGCTTCCTGTCCCCACCTGGCCGCCCTCCGAGCCACCTTCTAAACACGAGTCTCACAAGTCACACCTGCGGCAAATGCCTCCCTGGCCCTCCCGTCACCCAGCCATCTTCCCGCCCGTCTGTCCGTCCATCCACCCAAGGAGTCATTCGTGCAACAAATACTGAGTGGAGTGTCCACCACGTGGGGGGCACTAGGCACTGGCCCTTAGTGTCCAGTGGCTTTTAGTCTAACGGGGGAGGGGAGAAGGTAAGTGAAACCGGTTCATAGGGAGAGCGCAGGATTCTACGAGAGTTCACAGGAGGGGGCCTAACACAGTCAGGAAAGGCCTTCCTGAGCAGAGACGGTGACGCCAAGATCAGGACTGGGTGCTGCCCGGCGGAGGGGGGGTTTCTGCCTGAGGAGACTGTGTGCGGCTGGCCAGGTGCAGGAGCGAGAGAGCGGGCGTCTTTGGGGAGCAGCCAGTAGCCTGGCACGACTGGATCCAGGTACGAGGTGGGCGTGGCCAGGGAGGAGACGCAAGACCCTGTAGAAACTGACAGGAGGGAGGTGAGGAACAGCTAAGGACAAATCTGAGATGTTCCTTGGTGCCTGCCCCTTAAAGGCTCTCCAAACGTATTTGTTAGACAGATGGATAGAGGGGTAGAGTGGGGTGGGTGGGTGGATGGGTGAGAGGTAGGTGGGTGAGTGAAGGGTGGACAGAAGGATGAATGGGGGTGGGCAGGTGAGCAGGTGGGTGGGTGAGTGGCTAGGTAGGAAGATGGGTGGGAGGTTTTGGGACTGGGTGCTGGGACAATGGGGCTGTCACTAATAGAAACAGGAAGTGAAGAAGAAAGATCACCGTGGCCTCCTCTCTGCTCAGCTGGTCCCGCTGGCCCAAGCCTTACTGTGGCCAGCCCTGCCCTCTGCCACTCCCTAAGGACAGGCACCCCCAGGTGGAAACTGCGCCTTGACAGGAGTGTCCCTTCTGTACCTGGTCTCCACAGGAAACTTGCTCCTCAAAAATCAAAGAACACAGTGGATGCAAAAGTGTTCTGCACATGGAAAAATGAGGATGGGTGGAAGAATCAAGCGGCATCTGTCAAGAGCCCTCCATGTGCCAGGCAGTTTCTGTATGCTCACTCTCTAAGCACTGCTCTCCTCAGCCCCCATTTCACAGATGGAAAAACTGAGGCTCAGAGAGATGAACCAACATGCTCAGGACTCCACAGCTGGCATGTAGACGGGGCCACACTTCCTCCATGCCACACTCTCTGTTTATCACGGTCGTCCCTGAGCAACCACCCTCAGTCCCCGAGCTCGGCCAAGCTCCACTCCTCACAGATGCCACTGCAAGGGTCACCAGGCTTGGCCCTGGGCTAGTCCCCTGCACCTGGAGGAGGCTCTCCCAGGCCACGTCTTTAACACCCATTGAGGAAAACTCACCCCGATGCACCCAGTCCGTGGCTTCTCAGGGTGCAGGGGGTTAGAGAAAGGAATTAAGAAATTCTTAATTAGGAATTAAGAAACTGAGAAAAACTACACACAGAGTGACTCAATACCTAAAAGCAAATCTTTAGACAAATACTAATCAGTGTGGAGGCCTCCTAGGACTTTGACAATCAAGAGACATTCCGCCCCTGCAGGAAGGAAAGGCCTCTTTGACGTAAGCTAGGAGTCTCTTGCACGTTCTAAGCCAGAAGGCGGAGGTGCCTCGGTGCTAGATTTCAGCCGGCACATAAACAATAATCTAATTCGTCACCCTGCTCTTCCGTGTGGCGCACACACGGCACGCACACAGACGGTTACTCACGGCGCCGGGGCTGCTCCTGGGAGCCCCAAGCCCACAGAGCCGGGGAGTGTCCTGTGGGCCCAGCTTCCCTTCCCTCTAGCTGGCCAGACCTCTCCCCGCTTTAGCCCGGGCTATTTCACTTCTCGAAAGTACTTTTTTATTTCCCTCTGAGCAGGGGTAGAAATCGGGCTGCATTTTTCCTTAGTCCCTGTCTTCCCCCCAAATAACAGCCTCACTCCAGCAGGACAGCGCAGACAACAGAATCTCATCTCCTACACCCCTGCAACTGTTTCAAAGTTCAGTCCCACCTGGGCTCATGCAGCCCCTGCGCGTCAGGTGGGGCTGGCATTGCTAAGCCATTTCACAGAGCCCAAAGCCCAGAGAGGCTAAGCCAGTTGCTCAAGCTCCCACAGTAAGTTTGGGACAGGGTGGTATCAGAATCTAGAACCCAGACGTCCAGGCACCAACGTACTGCCTTTGAGCTTTTTTGGCCATAGCAAGGAACACGCTTTACATTGCAACCCTGCACACAAAGACAAGCACACAGACACGCACACGCACGCATCCGTATAAAGAAACAAACTTCCCGAAAGCAATACTTACCCTAGTACTTGCCATGCGCCCTGATATTTTCTGTTCTATTTCATTTTTTAAAATGCAGGTCGCGAACTACTAAATTGATTTTCTGACCCACTAATGGGTCATAAATAACCAGCAGTTTGGAAATAGCTGGAGGGAGCCCCACCTGCGCTGCTCTCCCGAGCCCCAGCAAGGCCGCCTGGTCTCTGCAGCCAGGTGCAGGCAGCTCCGGGAATCGGGCTGCAGGGAGTGCTCCCAGGGGGGAGTCTGGCACAGTCCTCCGTGACTCTGCCCGCCCCAGCTGGGCTCTGCCCGCAAACCTCAAGCAGCCGGCTTCCTGCAGCCGGGCGCCCAGCTCTCCTCCAACGATCTCCCGCAGACCCAGCCTCCCAGCTCCATCTAGAAAATCCCCAGCTGGAAGCTGCCCATTCCTGTGCTGAGGCAGAATCATGTGAACTCCAATCTGGTGTCAGGCTGGGCGGTTGCCGAGGAACCGCTCGCCAGCCAGAGGCGGCGGGGGAGCTGCTCCCTCCACGCATCCTCCCTGCTTCCCACACCCCCAGTCTGTGGGCAGCCCTGCGGGGGAGGGGGTGGAGATGGTAGAGCCGGGAATGAGGGGCAGAGGCCCCCCGGGACTGGGGGGATGCGGGAGGGGAGGGTGTGCTGATGCTCTCAGTCCAACCACCTTTGTGCACCTGCAGGGTAGCAGGAGAGGCAGATGTTGAACCCCTGCCCAGGGGGTGCTCACCTGAGCCCCTCGGGCCTCTGCCCAGTAACTAGATTACACTGTGGTCACAGCTGCAGTGTGGACACCAGCAAGAACAACAGGAAAGCAGGCAAGGACAGATGGAAGCTGCCAACATCTGTGTCAGTGGGTCTCAGTCCTGGCCACGTGCATGAGAAAATACCCGGGGAGTGTATCAACACCACCAATGCCAGGCCCTGCCCCAGGCTGATTAAATCCTGCTTTCTGGAGGTGAGGTGCCAGCATCAATGTTTTTCAAAGCTCCCAGGCCGATTCCAAAGTGCAGCGAGCGTGGGAAACCACCACGTGGTGAAGGCAGGTGGGACCCTGCCCTGCAGACCGGCAGAGCCAGGGCAGTGGGGTGGAGCCTGTGGGCAGGAAGAAGGTAAGCGTCAGTGTTTCAAACCGCATGGCCCAGAGCAGGGACCAAGCACACGGTGTCAGTGTTTCAAACCGCATGGCCCAGAGCAGGGACCAAGCACACGGTCTGGCCTCACCGGTTTTCCGGCTCTCAGCAGCACCTACTGAACTCCCCCCCTCGTACACTCCCAGCACAGGAGGCAGAAAGGACCCCTGGAGGTTTCCCAGCCTAGACTCCCCAAATGCAGGCCCAGAGGAGCGAAGGCTCTTGACCAGGGCCTGCCAGCTAAATGGTGACACAGCCGTGACTGAAACCCGCTGCCAACTTCAGCTGCCATGCGATTTTGGCTTGACTACCTCCCTCCCTCCCTCCCTCCCTCCTTGTAGTCTCCTCCAAGATAGAACACGGTGCCGGAGCCAGGAAGCCAACAGACACCACGCGTGGGGCGGGCTCGCTGGGGCTGCGAGTTCTCCCTGCTCCACTGGGTGATCTGCGGGGCCCGTCTTCTCCATAGAGTCCCCTGCCTGGGAACTATGTTGGTAGGGTCCAAGAAAAGTCCACTTCTCTGGGGTCCGAGCCCTCCAAGCAAATGCTACCACATAAACAGGCCTTTTAAAAACTGTCTCCTATGTCAGTTGCTTCTTGTAGGCCTTAGGTTACAGGCAAAAGGCTGCACTTGCTATGGTGCAATAGTTTGCATTTGGTCGCAGATGCTATTTCTAAGGTGTAGAGTGTGGCTGGCTTTCCCTGATGTCATATGGAAGGACTGGAGGGTGAGAACAGGGTCAACTTAATGATGACTGCCTGGCTATCCCCCAGGCCACACCCCACCAGAGAGAGCACCTCTGGCCCTCTCTCCGGGATGGCCCAGCCCAGCACAAGCAGGCCGTCTATACCACCACGGTCTACACCTGCAGGAACCACTGATGACACTGTGTCCCTCCCTCCCCCCAGCACCTTGTGGGACCAGCCAGCTGCCCCAGGCTGCCCAGCCCCTCTGCCGGCAGCATGCCCCACTCCTCACCTGGAATAGGGCCCCTCTCCTTCCCTGCTGGACCCTTGGGATGCAGAGTAAGCTTCCTTGGGTTTTACTCACGTTGGCTAAGCCCCCGCGCTCTGTGAAGTGCCCACCCGGGAAGGGGGAAAAGAGCCCATGCTGTGTTTTACCCCGGTGCTGGGATTTTGTCTTTAGCCCAAAGAGGAAGGGAGGACTAGAAGTGGTAGTGACAGCAAGCAGAGGCCCCATAACCTCCACCCACCTCGTAAACTTCTCCAAGTAAACCTACAACCAAGGAAAAGTAGTTTTATAACAGAAACATAGCCTCAGGAACAGCCCCTGGCCCCCTCCTCCCATCCCGGCTTCTGCCCTTCAGCCCAAAGTGGCAGAATCTTGGGAGCGGCCACCACCAGAGGACGAGAGTGCCTGAGCCCCGTGGGGCGCCCCCAGCCCCCGCGCTCGTCCTGTCCTGGAAAGACACACTGGCGAAACTGGGCCAGGCCTGCCTGCATTTCCCGCCCCTCCTCCCTCCACCTCCCTCTCCCCAGTGGTGGCAGCTGTGAAGCACCATGGACCCCACTGGGATGGCAGCCCCGGAAGGTTGGACTGAGCCCTGGACATCCTTATTGTGCCCCCAACATATGCATCTGCTCCAGGCATCTGGGCGGGTGCACTTTTCTGAGCTTCTTTGGAGGCTGCTTTGAGGACAAGAGGCCCCAAGACCACCCCTGGCCTCCCAGAGACCCAGGCAGCCTGGGGGCCAGCACAGAGAGGACCCCAGGGTCTTCTCTTGGCTGGTGGCCCCATGCAAGGCCACCAGCACATGGCGGCAACCCCAAGGTCATTTAGGGGACAGTGTGGAATAGAGGTTGAGAGCAGAGGCTCTGGGCCAGGCCATGGAGGTCAAGTCCCCATGCTGCCCCTTTCTGGCTATGTGACCTTGAGAATCACATACCCTGCTGCCCAGTGGACTCCTGTGAGACTCAAAGGAGGTGGGGCCCAGCCAGTGCCTGGCACTTAGTAGGTCCTTGCAGAGTTAGTACAGATGCAATGGTGGTGGTGGTGATGACGATGGTGACGATGACCATGGTAGCATCAAATCCTCAGGCTAGAAAGTCCTGCCCACCACCTGATCCACCTTAGAGAGGGTGGAGGATGGGCAGGCCACCTTGGTGGGACATCTGTCACGGAGCACCACCTCATTTCCCATAAGGGAACTGGAGGTTACTCAAATTACTCTACTGATTTGAGGCTAGTCAGGGTGGAGGCCTTAGAGGCTCCGCAAGGGCTTTGACAAATACTAGAGGTGCCTGTCATCAGCCATCCGCAGTTGGACCGCAGGGACCTTTACTGACGTGTCTAGAAGGGGAGCACACGCTGACGTCCAAGGAGCCGATGCAAGGTCACCTGGGCACCTGGGGGTGCTGCACTGTTGCAGGTTCAAAAGGGGCCAGGCCTGAATTAAGGATGGCTCTGCAGGAAGCTTCAACAACCAAGAGAAGGGACAGCAGAGAACCTAGCAAACTGTTTGGCACCAAGGCCCTCGTGCGTTTAGAGAAGAGCCTGGAGCAACTGAGTTGGCAGAGCCGTCATCACCACTGCCTGAGCACGTCCTCTGAACCAGGTGCTGTGCTGAGTCCCTTCCAAATACTTTCTGGTTTTGTTTTTTTAATGTCTGTCCGGGGACAGGGTCTGGAGTGCAGCGGGTATTCACAGGCGCCAGGTTCGTGCAGTACAGTCCTGAGCTCCTGGGCTCCGGCAGTCCTCCTGGCTCAGCCTCGCAAGTAGTTGGGACTACAGGTACGTGCCGTCACCTAAGAACTTTGTTTCAACCCGCGCATCAAGCCCACGTGGCAGGGGTTATCCCTGTTTTATAAATGAGGCGAATGATATCCAAAGGCTACCGGCCACTTGCCCAGGTCACACGGCTGGCAAACAGCAGGGCTCTGATTTGAACCTAGGGCAGTCTGACTCCAGAGATGGGGCTCTTGACCACTGTGTTAGTGTCCTATTGCTGCTGTGACAAATTGCCACAAATGTAGTGGCTGGAAAAAATCTCACAGTTCTGAAGGTCCAAGTCTGACTTGGGTCTTGCAGGGCTAACATTGAACTGCCGGCAAGGCTGCTTTCCCGCTGGGTGGCCTGGGGGAAATCTGTTTCCTTGCCTTTTCCAGCTTCTGGAGGCTTCCAGCGTTCCTCGCCTATAGGCACCCTTCCGTTTTCAAAGCCAGCAGTGGTGGATTGAGTCCTTCTCACGTGACATGGCTCTGGCCTCTGCCCCGTCATCGCGTCACCTCTCACTCTGACCCTCCTGCCTCCCTCCTCCACTTTGCAGGACCTGGTGATAATGTTGGACAGTCTCCTTAAAGTCAGCTGATCGGCAACCTCGATGCCACCTGCTACCCTAACCCCTCTTTGCCACAGAAGGCGACACAGTCACAGGTCCTGGGGGTTGGGAATTAGGCATCTTTGGGGGGATTATGCTGCCAGCCACGCCCACCCTGTTCTACTGAGACCCTGTACAGCAGCACTTGCCAAGCATCAAGAGAGCGCGCTCTCGCTAAAGCGCAGGAATCTCGTAAAAGCGCAGCTGCCGGCGCAGCGTGTCTGCGGTGGGGCTGAGAGTCGCCCATCTGACGGGCTCCCAGGCCCGAGCTGAGGGCCCCGTCATCTCCTGTGTCCCAGCAGCTAGCGCAGCGCTGTGCAAGTGTTTGCACTAAACAGATATTGACGACTGAAGGAAGGGGCGTGGGGAGGAAGGAAGGAAGGAGGAAGGAAGGAAGGATATCTGGACAATGCCCTCCACTCCTACTTCAACCAGGATGAAGTCTGGAAAGAAGAGAGACGAGAGCAATAAAACCAAAGCCACGTGAACCAACCCTTCGTGCGCTGTGAGAGGGTTGAGACGGAGCCTCTGAGCAGGGGAGGGCTCCAAGCTGTGCCCTAGGCTGGGGGCAGAAGGCTGAAGTGTCCCTGGGCTGGGGGCAGAAGGCTGAAGTGTCCCTGGGCTGGGGGCAGAAGGCTGAAGTGTCCCTGGGCTGGGGGCAGAAGGCTGAAGTGTCCCTGGGCTGGGGGCAGAAGGCTGAAGTGTCCCTGGGTTGGGGGCAGAAGGCTGAAGTGTCCCTGGGTTGGGGGCAGAAGGCTGAAGTGTCCCTGAGTTGGGGGCAGAAGGCTGAAGTGTCCCTGGGTTGGGGGCAGAAGGCTGAAGTGTCCCTGGGTTGGGGGCAGAAGGCTGAATTGTCCCTGGGCTGGGGGCAGAAGGCTGAAGTGTGCAGGGAGGGAGGAGGCCCTCGCAGGCCCCTGGTACACCCTGTGCTGTGAGGCCCCACTTGTGGCCCACCCTTTTGCCAGCCTGTTCCCCCAAAATGTCCCTTACCCACCACCCCATATGCTTCTCCCCATTGCTCAGGGCGGCATGTCTCGTGTTTCTCAGGTGAGCTTCGGGATATCCCCTGCGTGCCTGTTAAGTGCAGATCCCCAGGCCCTGCCCTGGACTCACTGAATCAGCATCACTTAGGGATGAGATCCCAGAGGCTGCATTTTTAGCAATTCCCCGGGTTTTTCTGACATGCACCAAAGCTGGAGAAGACTGTTTTAAGGCCCTGCTCAGATACCGCCTCCTCCATGCAGCCCTCCCCCACACCCAGAGGGAGAGCCTGTCCCCTCCAATGTGCACCCACAGCATTAACTTGAACTTGATCCTTCCCTGGGTCCTTTTCATCTTCCCTGGCCAACTTGAGACTTCTGAACGGTGATGCCTGATGTTTTATCACTGAGGTTGCAAGAGAGCTGGGACCAGGGCTCCTCACACTGAAAAGAGGTGGCCAGTGAGTTCCAAATGGCACATGGAGCAAGGGGACCCGGGAGGTAGGGGGTGGGCAGGGGTGCTCACGTGCCCTGAGCTGCCACTATGTGCAAGGCACTGTGCTTCCATAGGTTGCCTTGATCATTGCCACAGCAACCTGCCGGGTAAATGCTATCATCCCAGCTTCCCCGATGAAGAGAACTTAGGGCTGTCTAAGGCCAAGGGTCACGCTGGCAAGTGGCAGCACTGGGCTTCAAGTCAAGGTCGGGTTCACTGTATTTTAATAATTACCCACATGATGCACGGGAATTTGTATGATTCTGTTAATGCCCATCTTCCCCAGTAGGCAGAAAGCTGCTTGAGGAAGGAGGAGCTGGGTCTCTTTTGCTCTCCCCTGGGGAAAATACACACCAA